ACAAATAAATATAAATAAATAAATAAGTAGCTAAATAAAAAATGTATATATATATACACATATATGTATATATGTATATATGTATATATGTATATATGTATATATGTATATATGTATATGTGTATATATGTATATACGTATATATGTATATATGTATATAGTATATATGTATATATGTATATATGTATATATGTATATATGTATATATGTATATATGTATATATGTATATATGTATATATGTATATATGTATATACGTATATATGTATATATGTATATATGTATATATGTATGTATGTATATATGTATATATGTATATATGTATATATATATACATATATGTATATCTGTATATCTGTGTATATGTATGTATGTATATCTGTATATCTGTATATATGGATATATGTATATATGTATATCTGTATATATGTCTATATGTATACAGACAATATGTAATATGCATTGTGATTCTGATTACGAGCTTTTCTGGAGTTGGGGTTGCAGGTTCTTAGGGGGGGTTGTTAGGGTTTTGGGTGTTTTGCTTTTGTGAGGCTTTGAGGGTGTGGGGTTTGTTGAGCTTCGAAGTCTCAGATTGGGCCAAAGTCAGGGGTGCTACTTCTGCAGGGTTCTTAAGGGAGGGGGGTTCGGGGGGGGTATGCGACCCCAAGGTTCGCCAAATTCATAGTCCCCAATACTCCCTGAGGCCCCCTAAGCTTCCCGAAGGTTCCCTGGGCACCTACGGTTCGAAGTCGGGGCAAGTATAGTAGCTATGTCTACACTAGAATCTAAACGTAGTCTTGACTAGGGTACTTAGAACTTCACGCTTTCTTAACTACCCCTAAACCCTAAACCCTAAACCCTAAACCCTAAACCCTAAACCCTAAACCCTAATTCCTAAACCCTAAACCCTAAACCCTAAACCCTAAACCCTAAACCCTGACCTTTGAGCAGGGGCGGCTTGCAGTCATCAGGCTCAAAGAGGGATGAGAGGGCCGCATGGGCCCGAGGTGTGAAAGCAACAGGTTTAGGGTTTAGGGTTTAGGGTTTAGGATTTAGGGTTTAGGGGTTAGGGCTTAGGGTTCGCCCCAAGCCTTAGAGAACCCCAGAGCATGTCTTGAACCCCAGCTGTACATCCTTGAGGTGTGAGGGCCCTAAACCTCCAAAACCTCCTAAGGCGGTTTGTATACTTCGGCCCAACACCCAAAAAAGACAACCCTAAACCCTAAACCCTCTCAACCCTCTAAACCCTCTAAACCCTCTCAACCCTCTCAACCCTCTAAACCCTCTAAACCCTCTAAACCCTCTAAACCCTCTAAACCCTCTAAACCCTCTAAACCCTAAACTACAACTGTAGGAGGGTGTCGGCACAGGTTGCTGAAGGATCCCGACTTCTTGGTGGCGGCTGTGCGCCAAAACCCCTGGACACTGGGCTACCTGCCTGAGCAGGCAGGGCAAGCTGGTTCCTAAACCCTAAACCCCCTTAAACCCCCTTAAACTCCCTTAAGCCCCTTAAACCCCCTTAAACCCCCTTAAACCCTCTAAACCCCCTAAACCCCCTTAAGCCCCCGAAGCCCCCTAAGACCCCTAAGCCCCCTAAGCCCCTTAAAGGCTATAAACCCCCCTAAAGGCCCGAAACCTTTCTTCCTGGTTGACCCCCTCTGAAAGGCAAAGAGAGACCCCAACGTGATCCGGGAAGCTGTGAAGCGCTTCTCGACTCGACTGGGCACCCTAGAATCCGGGTTTAGGGTTAGGGTTTAGGGTTTAGGGTTTAGGGTTTAGGGTTTAGGGTTTAGGGTTTAGGGTTTAGGGTTTAGGGTTTAGGGTTTAGGGTTTAGGGTTTAGGGTTTAGGGTTTAGGGTTTAGGGTTTAGGGTTCCGCGAGTTCCTGAACAAAAAAACTTAGGACTCAACCCCTCCACCAAAGCTCCGAAGCCTGCACCCCTATACCCCAAACCCCAAAGTTGGTTGAGTCAGGATTTCAGAGCCAGCCTGATAGTAATTGTGAAAGTTCAATCATCCTATCCTTTCAAGCTGTTCTTTTGTGCCAAACACGCGATCCCGGGAAGCCGTTGGATCCCTGAGCCCATGAACCCCTGAAGCCCGAAAATCCTTGAAGCCCCAAGTCCGAAGCTCTTGAACACTCGGGTTTAGGGTTTAGGGTTTAGGGTTTAGGGTTTAGGGTTGAAACATCCATGTCTCTCTCCCTCATCTCTCTTAATTTTACTATTCCTCTATTCCGCTCTTGCTCTATTCCTTTCTTCTTCTATTCCTCTCGTCTTCATTTGTCTTCGGGGGGGCTTGCAACCGGCAACCAAATGTGGAGTTCTACGCGCAGCGATTGGTAGCAGTCCCTAGACCCGAAACTCTAGAACCCTGAATTAACGGGACGTTCATGGGAACCCCAAACAGGGAACCCCATCGGAATATCAACACTACCAGGGTCCTTCTGTTCCCTTTCTGTACCACATTCTTGGGGTTCCCTTGTTTGGGGTTCCCATTAGGATCCTTTAGACTTGGCCCAAAGACCCGAAGTTGCCCTTCAGAGACCAATATCCGGCAAAGTTGCCTGAGTACTGCTGAGCTTCAGGGCTCCAGACTGTGTTTGGACATGTTCTGCTTGCTTGGTAGCCCAGTGGTGCCCTGTACCCTTGTTTTTTGGTTATGGCGGTTATGGGTTCCCTTCTAAAGTAACCACCCCAAAAAAAGGGTGCCCCTATTTCTGCTTCTGCTAGTTTTTTTCTCCCCTCGCGCCCAAGACCGAATGCAGTGCATCCCCACGCGGGGCCCAGGCAACGGCCGACGCTGGAACCCCATGCACCCCCATTGCAAAGCAAGCGGGCGGTCAACATGGACCCGGAAAGAGCCGGCCGCTGCGTCAGGATGACATCGGCAGTTTTTCAAGGGTTTCCTTACTCCCCCCTCTATTCTACCCCCCCGCCCGCCAGGTTGCCTCCTTAAACAACCTTAAGTAGGCTTGATTATACCAAAATTAATGGTGGGGGGAACCTAGGGGGAGGTAGTATAGAGGAGGGAGGTAAGGGAACCCATGACAGTTGCATTCGGTCTTTGGAAACTTACTCAACCCTAATCCCTAAACCCTAAGTGCCCTATAGTCCACATGCCGAAAATCCCAAACCCTAAGTTGTATGCACTGGTAGGCGAGCCCCCAAAATGATGGGACCCTGCTTTTGACAGCTCAGGGTGTGTAGGAGGTTCATCTCTAGTGGGTTTAGGGTTTAGGGTTCAGGGGTCTTCCACGAATTGGGGTTAGTTGTGGAAAGTCCGATTCGAAGATTCTCACAGTCTTGGGGAACCTACTCTACCTGCTACTACAGTGTACTTAAAAGGTGCCCTAGTTTGGAGAGCTCTCTGACGCTATCTTTTTTACTTGGCTTTAAGAGGATCATATTCCGGAATCTTCTTCAGAAATTTTCAAGAAGTTAAGCGTGACCCTGAACTACCTTTTGTTTTGGGTATCTGAGAGCAGTGGCCATGTGCTTCAGAGCGTCTCACACAAAGTCGGGGCGCCTCCGTCGAGGCCTCGCACTCCGCCTTCGGCTGACATGGGAAACGCTCACTGAAACCCCCTAAACCCGGAGTTGAACTCTTTAGGGTTTCAGGTTTAGGGTTTAGGGTTTCAAGGTTTCAAGGTTTGTGGCCCTGAGCCCTAAGCCCTAAAGCCCCTGAAGCCCCCTAAACCCCCTAAACCCCGAAAGCAAAGAGCCTAATTGTAAGTTTCCTGAGCAGCTCCACCTGAGCAGTCTCGAAGCTTTATTTCTGCCCCAAATATCCCCTGTGCGCATGGTAGGCTCTCAAGCTTATGGCATTTTTTTTGGCACTTGTCTAAGGCTCCCGTATCATTAGAGGTATGTCAACAAATGGCCTTAGTAACGACGAGGCGGCGCCTGAAGTGCGAAACTTAGAATGCGTTCTTACGAAGGAGACTTGATATTTCATGTCATTTGCCCCTGTTTGCTTTCGCGTAGGTGGGACCATCAAGTTTACATATCAAGTGCGCACGAGCTTCAAGTCTCGCATGACGCTGCTCTGAGAAAATAGTTGTTGAACTCAGTGCTCTGAATTCTAGTTTCAAAAGCCTACCAGAAAAAATTCAAAATTCATCTATGCAGTCAAGTTTTCCCCATTCAAGCCGTAGAGGATAAGCTGTAGAAGACAAGACTTTGCAAGTAACCGGCGCATTCTGGTAAAATCGTAGGAATGTCCTTCTACGTACTTTTTTTTTATACTTCCAAGTCAGTCACTGGACTTGGCCGAAGGCCCGAAGGGCAAAGACCCCTGATGGAATCTCGCCACCGGGCAAAAATGCTTGGGGTTTTGGGGCTTAGGGTTTAGGGTTTGGGGTTTAGGGTTTGGGGTTTAGGGTTTGGGGTTTAGGGTTTAGGGTTTAGGGTTTGGGGTTTAGGGTTTAGGGTTTTTGTGGCTGCGGCCCTCTAAACCTCGAGCTCCGCAGCGACAACAGCCACAACCGCAAGGGAGCACACCTTCAGGTGTGACGCTGGAGGCGCATGATCGCAGCGGGTTGCCGAGCCCGGTGGCTTTGCTGCAGAAAAAAATTGGGGGCGCTTCCAGCATCCGTGGTGTTTGGGGTGCTCCAGGTCCTACATCCGCGGGCCCGCGATGCTCGGACCCCGTGCTGTTACTATGCAAGTCCTATACGTCAACCTTTGTTTTTTCACACCTCGAGAAATGATCCAGTTGCCACAATACGTTTACTTTGCTTTGTTTATTATCAGTATATTGCCACTACAAGTACTGTTACCATCCTCCTTCTCCAACTTCTACCCAGAATTTGTGACGGCGGCCTCTGCTCTGATCTGTGAGAAGAAGTAGGAAGGTTATGCTCAGTCTCAGATGCCTTGAGCGAATCTTTGCCTTGCTAGCCGAGAGGCCAGGTACAGTGTTGTGGTCGAGCGCAAGGAGCGTGTGCGGCGCCGCTGCAGGCTCTTTTTTCTTGAGTGAAAGTCCAGTATATTAGGTAGCAATGAGCTTGACGCGTGCGGTCTACTTTCTCGTGCTGTGGTCAGCCGACGGTACTTGCAACTGTCGCGATGGCTCCTGCAACGAGGTTTGCACAAACAATGCCACTGTGCCCCACTTGAACCTGACTGATGGGTTCTGCAATGCAATGGGGCAACTCAGCATGACTCACCAAGAAATGTGCTGTGCCTGTCCTCAATGGGAGTGTTCGCAGACCTGGTCCAATGGAGACCCCAGTGCTTGCGACGGGCATGCCGGGGGATCGTGTGACCAGGTTTCCTGCACGCAGTGCTATCACAAAGCTTTTGTCCCTGAGTTTGGTGACACGGTGTGTGGGAAATACGTCAACGGTCCGTACAATCTGGGAGACAAGAGTGTCGTGCAATGTGCCCAGGCATGCACTGCACATGCCGAGTGTAACGCCTTCGAGTACTGGGACGACGATGTGGGAAATTACCGTGAGTGCAAACTCTGCGTGACTTATAGAGTCTCTCCAGACAGCAACACGCACGCCAAAAGACGCAGCAAATGGCTCCAAGTTTCTTCTTCCGAGTGCGCAGGGTGCACCTGCTTCGGGGCCTTTTGCTTCTGCGAATGCACCGCGAATGACGGTTGTTGGGCATGGGGTCACGCGCCAAAGAGTACGCTCATTGCCATTCCCTGGCTTCTGGCTGCTGCGCAGCTGGCTGCATTGGGCTAACGAAGGGTCTCTTGAACAGTACTTGGAATCGCTCAGCACCGCCTAACAGGGACCTTCGGTGATATTTATGCAGCTCCTGCGTGTTCGAATCACAGCAAAAAACATGCTCGCATTCTTATTCCAGTGGCCTGTTGTAGGACGTGCTGAGGGACAATTAGTTTTTGCAGCCTGTTCTCAAACAGAGACCGGCTCCTGCGCAAAATGAGCTCTTGCGAAACATGTCTCGCAAAACGGCATCGCCAGCCCATTTGTAATGAAAGCCCCCCCCTCCCCCCCTGAAAGGCAAAGAGAGATCTTAATGTGATCCGTGAAGCCGTGAAGCGCTTCTTGACTCAACTGGGCACCCTTGAATTAGGGTCTCGCCACCGAGCAGCATGGTTGGGGGTTTCGGGCCTGCACTACTTGGAGGTTCAGGGGCACTTATAACCCCAAGCAGAAGTCTACTTCTAACCTACTTCTAACCTACTTAGGAGACTTAGGGGGCTTACAAGTACAGTTGTAATTGGGGCTAGAAGTACCCATGAACCTCCAGGTGCGGGGATCTAAGTACCGGAGACGACAGAAAAGCCTAAACCTTAAACCCTAAGCGCTAAAACCTCAACCCTGAACCCTAAACCCTCAGGGGGCTTAGGCCCCCTTCTTGAGGCTGCTCTCAAAGGCGCAGGAAGTATCCCCATGCCCTTTGCTGAAAGAAGACTCCCTCTAAGCAGTCCCAATGTGCTTTGGGGCATGTTCCGTGGCCTTCTGCACCCCACCACGGCTGCCGGCCGCCCGTCACCCTTCGATCGAAGGCTGTGAGGCTCAACTCCGTAAGCCCGAAGCTTTTTCAAAACCCTAAAGCCCTGAAACCCCTAAAAAACCTAAACCCCTAAAAACCCGAAAGCTCTAAAACCCTGATGCCCGAAAACCCCTAGAAACACCCCAGTGCCCTAAAACCCTAAAATATAACCCCTAAAACCTCCTAAAACCCTAAAACCCGTAAACTCCCCTGAAACCCGTCAAGCCCTTAACCCCCCAAAACTCCCCAAACCCCCCAAACCCCTAAAACCCCTACCCCTAAAAAACCCGAAACTCCTAAACCTGAGAAACCCCTAAACCCCTAAAGAAACCCTAAAAAACCCCTAAACAACCCCGAAAAAACCCCCCTAAACACCCCTAAAACCTCAAAAAAGGCCACCATAAAGGGCTGCAGCTGCCATGGCCCTTGGCGGCTCCCCCGCGCGGGGCGACCTGGAGCGGACCCTGCAGGGCTTCGAGGCAGGGTCCAGGGCTCTTTTTTTTTTTTTTTTCCGGTTTTCTAAGGGTTTCTTTTAGGGTATTTTTCGGAGGTTGTTTTAGGGTTAGGGTTTTTTCAGATTTTGTTTTTTTTTTGTGTGTGGGTGGCGGGCGGGACCGAGCGGGACCGGGCGGGACCGGGCGAGTTTAGGGTTCAGGGTCTTGGGGTTCAGGGTTTAGGTCCAGGGGTTGGACGCTGGAGGGGCTTTAAAGGGTTTTCGTGCGTCAGGAGCTGGGGCTTGCGGGTTGAGGGCTTTAGGGCTTAGCTGGTTTTGGGACTGGGTTTTAGGCTTCAGGGGTGTTTTGTGGGGTGGGAGGCATGGGCTTGAGGACCACCTGCAACGCAACCCCAAGCCACACGGAGAGCCGGGGTTTAGGCTCAGGAACCTTGTCCGCAAGCCTTTAACCCTAACTAAACTGAAGCCTTGAACCCCTAAACCCTGAAACCCAGACTGAACCCCAGACCTCCAAACCCCCTAAACCCCCCCAAGCCACCGAACCCTAATCCCTAAACCCTAACCCCTAACCTTAACCCCTACCCCTAATCCCAAAGCCCGAGTCCCTAAATAAACCCTAAACCCTAAACCCTAAACCCTAAACCCTAAACCCTAAACCCTAAACCCTAAACCCTAATTAGCAAGGGGCCTTGAGAAGTGCACTGAGGACTATGCAAGAGCACTGCAGCCGTTGGTGGGCGGCCTACGGGAGTTGGAGGCTCTTGGGGTCTAGGGTGTAAGGTTGAGGGTTAGGGCTTAGGTTTTTTTAGGGTTTTTGTGGTTTTGGGTTTAGGGATTCGGGGAGTAGGGGATTTTGGGGTGCAGGGTTTCGATTTTTGGAGGGCGTAGGGGAGCTTGGGGTTAGGAGGGCTTAGGGATTGAAGAGTTCAGGGTGTTTGACGGGGGTTTAGGGCTTCGGGTTGAGGTTGCGGGGCTTTGGGGTCGTAAGGGGTCACTTGCGTTGAGTTTCGGACCCGCGACCGAGCAAGTCTAGGGGTTGCAGGGTTGACTTGGGCTTCGGGATTTCGAGGCTTCGCAAGTGCAGGGTGTTCGGGGCTTGCGGTTGTATCACATGCCCAAAGACGTGCTTAAAGCTTGTAGAGTACACAGCAAGTCCTGAACCCGAAATCCCAAAACTGCCCAAAACTTAAACCCGTAGCCCTGTAGCCCTATTACCCTATAACTCTATAACCCAAAAAATCTGGAATCCTAGAACCTTGTAAATCCTAATTCCGAAACGGACAGGCCCAAAGCGACACCAGGTGTTTCCAGGTTCAGGGACATAGGTCTTTACTCCAAGCCCTGAAGAGGAAGCCGTACAGCTGCTGTTGCCTGCTGATGGCCGCGTGGTGCCTCCTATATTGATCCAGGAAATTTCAGGGAATACTGCGCAATCGACTTGAACCTAAACCCTCAGGCCTTAAACCCTAAGCCCCAAAATCTAAACCCAAAACCCCAAAACCTAAGCCCCAAACCCTAAACCCCAAACCCTAGACTCCCAATCTCCCAAACTGCCCAAAACCCTGCACCTATGGCTTAAGTTTCGGGCCTAGGGTTCCCGCACTTCGAGGTGCACTCTAGGGGTAGTTTCATGGGCCCTTAATATGGTCCCTTAGGGTTTCGGGTTTAGGGTTTAGGGTTTAGGGTTTGGGGTTTAGGGTTTAGGGACCTTGACTCCCATGGTTTCGGTCGACTTCTGAGGGCCTCCTCCAGCTGGGCAGCTCCGCGCCATGCACGGGGGCTCAGAGCTGCGGTTTAGGGTTTAGGGTTTAGGGTTTGGGGTTTAGGGTTTAGGGTTTAGGGTTTGGGGTTTAGGGTTGAGGGTTTAGGGTTGAGGGTTGAGGGTTTCGGGGTGGCAGCTTCGGCCACGTCTCTTTGCCAGGCTGTGAAAAGTACTCGCGTGTTGTTGCGGTCGTTTCAATTTGTTTGTTGTCGTGTGTCTTGTAAGGGCCCGATGATGATCGTAAGAACCAGGGGGGGTCGAGTCTACTGTCGGATTGTAGGCGGTGGGACACACAAAAAACGAAATCGTTAATGAATCCTCCCAAGATGCCCCGAAGCCCTAGTTAGCCAAAAGCCTCAGGCTTTGCAGAAACCGAGTATCCATGCAGAGGAGGTTTTGGGGGGTCAGGGCTAGGAAGTGCTGCTGACCGGCAACGAAGCCTCTGCAATGTTTAGGGTTTAGGGTTTAGGGTTTAGGGTTTAGGGTTTAGGGTTTAGGGTTTAGGGTTTAGGGTTCCTTGTTTTTGTATGAAACCTGTGTCATGATGGAGAGTCCACAGCAAGATTCCGAAGCAAGACCTGGAGCCCTAAAGCCTTAGGCCCCGACGCCCTGAAACCCAAAGTGCTATCAAGGAGCTTTCTTCTTGGGAACCAAGGCCTTGACTGTCACCGTAAGAAGCGAAAACCAAAAACCTATATATATGCCCGAACACCCCTAACATCCTAACACCCGAACACCCCAACATTCTAGCACGCTTGCACCCTACTATAGGGGCCTGAAGAACTAGAATAGGGTGTTGTAATATTCGTAATTTGTCTGACCTCTATGTTAACACTCTACTACCCTCACACCCTTAGCCCCTGCACTCTCAACCGAGTCACGGGCTTCACCGGCTCTGTCGTCTCGCGCCCTGGCTGCTGGCAGGTTTCTCGTGCAGGGATTTCAAGTTAGGGCCAGTTTAGGATTTAGGGTTGAGGGGTTTGGGACACTTGGGGTTTAGGGTTTAGGGTCCCAAGCTCTAAACCTTTAACTCTAGACTTGCCTAGACCTCAATTGCGTCAGGTTGACACGCCCCCGCAAGCCCACACGCCTGGACGAAAGCCCTTTTGTAGAACCCTGGGTGGCTCGTAAAGCCCTCAACCCTAAACCTTTAACCCTACAGCCCTAAACCCTACAGCCCGAAACCCTAAACCCCAAGCCCCAAAGGTCCCAAACTGAGCTTGACAACTCGGAGTAGTGGACCCGAAGAAGCGCAGCAAGGTTTGAGGGCTTTTGGGTTTAAGTTTTTTCATCTTTTGTTTGAGGGGGGTGGTCTAGGGTTTTGGGGTTTAAGGGCTTTGTACAGTCGTTGAGGGTGTAGGCTTCTTCAGGCTTAGATAGCATCATGTACACTCTTTCTCTCTCTCTCTCTCTCTCTCCTCTCTCTCTCTCCCTCTCTCTCTCTCCTCTCTCTCTCTCCCTCCTTCCTCTCTCTCTCTCTCTGACAAAGGTGGTGCTTCCGAGATGGCAGCCTCGGGTACGGCGCTGCTGCGGTTGCTCGAGCCAGGGCCCTGGGCGATGATCCGGCCGTATGGGTTCTTCCTTCCGGACTGCTTCGGGTTTCCGGTTCAACAGGTCTCTACTGAGAGTGTGGCTTCCGGGGATTCTTGGGGACATTTCTCTAGAGGTCGAGAGAGGAGCCTTAAAGCTGTAGCCACCTGAGATCACCTGAGTTTGGCGCCGTACCATCTCATGCTCCAAGGCCGCCTATCAGGGATTGGGGCCATTAGGGTTCAGGACTCAGGACTGTTGCGGGGCACCAAGAGCGGCTTTCCAACCGCTGCTCCTTTGCAGTCCTGGTGACTCTTGTGGGCTTTTGGCTGCGAGTGCTGGGCGCGGCTAGGTATGGGTACCTGGCCTTCGGCCGACCCCAAGCCTCCCAGCCCCCTACTTGGAGGTTCATGGTACTTACTAACCAATTGTAACTGTACTTAAAACCCTACTTATAAGTGGGATAACCCCTGTAAGGCCCTTTAGGGGTATGATAAGTAGGGTTATAAGTACAGTTGTAAGTACCATGAACCTCCAAGTAAGTCCTAAAGCGCGTAAGCGCCAACTCAACATCTTTTTAATCCCCCAGGTGACTCTCCTCGACTTCGTGGCTTGGTCGCAGCTTTGGTTGGGGTTTGGGGCTTAGGTTTTGCGCATCCTGGATTCAGGGGTGCGGGATGTAGGGTTTCTGCAGAGCTGGTTCTCCCTAAACCCTAAACCCTAAACCCTAAACCCCAAACCCTAAACCCTAAACCCTAAACCCTAAACCCTAAACCCTAAACCCTAAACCCTAAACCCTAAACCCTAAACCCTAAACCCCTAAACCCTAAACCCTAAACCTTAAACCCTAAACCCTAAACCCTAAACCCTAAACCCTAAGCCCTAAGCCCTAATCCCTGGACCCTAAACCCTAAACCCTCAGATTCTGGGTTTTGGGGTTAGGAACGTGGTGCTTGAGCAAGGTGAGCTCAACTTTCGGTTTGAGGCTTTGAGGACTCATCAAGACTGCGAGCGTCAGCCCTCGGAAGCCTCCGCCCTTAGCAACTCCCTACATCCTTAGCCCCAGGAGCTCGGATTGCCCCACACTACACACTGCACCCTAAACCCCAAACCCTAAACCCTAAGCCTCAGGTCCTCTCCGCTGGGCCCAGCGAGGACAATGAGCCCTGGCGCCAGCGACGTGGCTGAGACTGGGGTCTAGGGTTTAGGGTTTAGGGTTTTAGGGTTTTAGGGCTTTTGGGTTTCGCGTGCAGCGTTCAGGGTTCCGGGTCGCCAGCAAGCTCATTCGAAACCCCCAGACCCCCTGAACCACGGCTTTTCCTCCACCTGACACCCCGCAAAACCAAACCTTAAACCCTAAACCCTAAACCCTAAACCCTAAACCCTAAACCCTAAACCCTAAACCCCTAAACCCCTAAACCCCTAAACCCCTAAACCCCTAAACCCCTAAACCCCTAAACCCCTAAACCCTAAACCCCTAAACCCCTAAACCCTAAACCCCTAAACCCCTAAACCCCTAAACCCTAAACCCCAAACCCTAAACCCCAAACCCTAAACCCCAAACCCTCAATAAGACACCCCAAAGCCCCCCCAAACGCGAGGCAGCTACTGGACATGGCCCCAGCAGTGCTTGCCACGTCGGATTTCCTGGTCTGCCGGAGATTGGGGCAGGCACCTCTCTTTTTTTTTTTTTTGCTATTTGCGGGCTTTCATGGGGGTTTGTAGTGGTTTTGAATCTCAATCTCAATCCCCTAGACCTAATCATGATTCCTTCGGGGTGTCGTGGGTTTCGTAGGGTTAGAGGTGGGAGGTGTCGGTTGTTGGTTTCAGCACCTACGTAGGACCTACGCCCCAAGCTCCCCACACCCAAGATCCCAAGATCTCAGCCCCAAGCGCGAAGCCTTCGGGAGGTCTTGATACATGATGTGCTCTCTATTCTGGCTTTGGCGGCTTTGTTTTCTTTTTCAAACATCCTGACCTGTACCCCAAACCCCGAAAGCCCGGCGGGCCGAGCTGCCTTTTGTCGAAGGTGAGGTTTGAAGCCTCTGTGTCGGGGTTGGGGTTCAGAAATTCGCACTCCCGAAAGCATGTGCTTCAATATGCCATGCTGTCCGGCAGCATGCGATCATACAGCCGAAGATGCTTTTTTTTAAATCTTGAAGCCCATGTGGTACTCTAGTGTCGGGAGGGAGAGGGTGTACGAGGGCGAGGGGCTTGCGGGTGTAGGCCTTGAGAACCCAAGGTAGCATGTTGTCCTTGATTTTATTCATGGTATAGCCCTAAACCCTAAGCCCTAAGCCCTAAGCCCTAAGCCCTAGGCCCTAAACCCTAAACCCTAAACCCTAAACCCCAAACCCTCAACCCTAAACCCTAAACCCTAAACCCTAAACCCAGGTCATGGCCAGGCTGCTGTCGGAGGCCTCGGCCGGCGCTTGGCTCACATCCCTGGGCCGACGGTGCCTGGCCTCCTGGCGACTTTCTTTTAATGTTTGGGTTTAGGGTTTAGGGTTTAGGGGTTAGGGTAGGTCTAGGGTCTAGGGTTTAGGGTTAAGGGTTTCGGGTTTCGGGTTAAGGCTTTCGGGTATAGGGTTTAGGGTTTAGGATTTCAGGTTTAGGGTTTAGGGCTTAGGAGTTGAGGTTTAGGGTTTGGCGTTTGGGGCTTGAACCCTAAACACTTAACCTTAAATCGTAGACTCTAAACCCTTAACCCTTAACCCTAAACCCTAAACCCTAAACCTTAAACCCTGAACCCTAAACCCTAAACCCTAAACCCTAAACCCTAAACCCTATACCCTAAACCCTAAACGCAGCAATCCAAAGGAGCGCTCCTTCAACGAAGATGGCGGCATGGATCGAGCGGAGGCTGAGCCATTGGCAAAGAAGCACGGGGGATGAAAGGGACAGCACAACTAGGTTTTAGGTTCTAGGTTTTAGGTTTAGGGTTTAGGGTTTTAGGGTTTAGGTTTTAGGTTCTAGGTTTTGGGGTCTAGGGTTAGGGTTTAGGGTTTAGGATAACGAAGGGCTTGAAGACCCTGAACCCGAGGGTTTAGGAACAACGGCTTGCGTTTAGTGTTTAGGGGCACAGTTTTTTTTGGTTGCGTTTAGGTTTATTATTATTATTATTATTATTATTATTATTATTATTATTATTCGTATTTTTATTTTTTTTACGATTATTATTATTCTTATTCGTAGTATTTTTTTACTATTATTATTATTATTATCATTATTATTACGATTATGATTATGATTATGATTATGATGATGATGATGATGATTATTATTATAATATATATATATATATGGTGCCTTATTTGAGGGGGTCGGTTTTCGTTTTTTGGGGTTCCTAGAGGGCTTTTAGTGCTTTGACGGCGTTTGCACATCCCCAATCCCTGATTCCCTTCAACTCCTAAACCCCTAGGCCTGTGGGTTTCGAGTTTAGACTTTAATTAAGTCTAGGGCTTAGGGTTTTTGAGTGTTTAGGGTTTAAGGCTCCAGTCACAGCAGGGCATGGTATCAGTGAGGCCTAGAAAGGCGTTTGGGGCCCAGGGGACGGTAGGGAATCTAGTGAGGTTCTTACAAAGCCTTTTGTCGAGCACCTGTGTGTACGAAGGTACGTCGTACCTACAGCCTAATCACCCTCAACCCTCAACCTGAACCTTAAACCCTAAAGCCAAAACCCTAAACCTTAACTCCTAAACCCGAAACCCTAAACCCTAAACCCTAACCCTAAACCCGAAACCCGAAACCCTGAGCCTTCTTTCAGCACCTTGCTGGACTTGATGAAGCCCTAGACCCCTTAGACACGTCACTTCTCCGAGGGGCTTTAGGGCTTTACGTAGAGTTCAGGGTTTAGGGTTTAGGGTTCAGGGTTTAGGGTTTAGGGTCAAAACCTAAAAGCCCAAGCCTAGGCCCCTCCCCCCCCCTCGCCCCCCTCTGTCTCCAGTTGCTGCGGGCTTTTGCCACTGGCGCCGCCGCCTTCCTCGAGCGATCGCCTACCAGCGGGATTTGCGCCTTGCTGGCACTTTCGGGTGGGGGCGGGGCGGTGGTTGGGGTTTAGGGTTTAGGGTTTAGGGTTTAGGGGCCAAATCCCTAAAGCTCCTAAAGCCCCAAATCCCTAAAGCTAGAATTAAAGCCCCCCAAACCCTAAAACCTCCAGAAGCCATGGCACACACTGTTGAAGCGCTCGCGCACAGCGGCAGCAGCGCCGCGAGCACAGTCCTGTCCTGGATGACCAGAAGTCGGCAGAACAATTGCATCAAAGAGGGCTGCAGGTTACGCCCGCAGCCGCCTTCCGTACAGAGTCCGCGAGGAACATTAACACAAACACCCGACCACATTAGCGGGTGAATGCTGCTTCCACCTCGCTGGACAGATGCCAGTGGAGGTATGACAAGAAGATCAAGACTACTTTGTATGTGCAGCCAATCTGACGTGGCCGCACTCGAAACTGAAAGGAACAAACTGAGCTCGAACTGGTAGAAGAGCATGACAAACGAGACCATGCAGACACAAAGGACAATTTTCGAAGTTTTCAAGTCAAGGATGTGTTTCTCCACGTGCTCACTTCCCGTTGACCTGAAACTGCACTCAAGGAGATCGCTGCCGAAGACCTGAACATGGAGGCTACAGAGCAACAGGGCCACTACGCCCGGCAGCCAAATCATCCCCGCAGCCCACTTCAGAAAGGTTTTTCTGGACTCAGAGCTCCAGGAGCCATAAAACCCCCCCCCCCCCCCCCACAAAAAAAAGCAAAAAAAGAAAACAACAAAAACAACCAACAAAAAACCCCTCAACCCCCCCCAAAGCCTAACATGTCTGGTGCCTTTAGGGTTTAGGGTTTCGGGTTTAAGGTTTAGGGTTTAGGGTTTGGGGTTTGGGGTTTGGGGTTTTGGGTTTGGGGTTTGGGGTTTGGGGCGAGAGGCGCCGAAGTGTGGAGCATCACCCGCCAAGCGATGCGCGGGAGCTCAGCTGGCGGGTGTGGGCAGCGGTTCATGTCGGGGCTTTTTTAGGGGCTTTTAAGGGGCTTCTAAGTGGGTTTCTATGGGTTTCTAAGGGGCTTTAGGGGGTTTTAGGGGTTTGGGGGCTTCTCAGGGGCTTTTTAGGGGCTTTTTCGGGGCTGTTTTAGGGCTTTTTAGGGGCTTTTTCGGGGCTTTTTAGGGGCTGGGCTTTCTTAGGGGCTAATTTTAGGGGCTTTTTAGGGGCTTTTTAGATGCTTTTTAGGGGCTTTTTAGGGGCTTTTTAGGGGCTTTTAAGGGGCTTTTTAGCTGCTAGGGGCTTTTTAGGGGCTTTCTTAGGGGCTTTCTTAGGGGCTTTCTTAGGGGCTTCTTTTAGGGGCTGTTTAGGGGCTTCTTAGGGGCTTTTTAGGGGTTTTTAGGGGCTATTTAAGGCTTTGTAAGGGCTTCTTTGGGTTAGGGGCTTCTAAGGGGCTTTTTTGGGGGCTTCTAAGGGGCTTCTATGGGTTTCTATGGGTTTTTTGGGGGCTTTACAGTAGGGGTTTCGGGGGGTTTTATGGGTTTTAGGGCTTTAGGAGCTTTAGGGGTTTGAGGTTTTAAGGCTTCAGCGTGTTTGGGGCTTTTAAGGTTGGTTTTGGGGCGCCTTAGGAGTTTGGGTGGTGTGGGGATTTGAGGGTTGTAGCACGTAGGGCGTGGGGCTCAGGGTTTGGAACATTTCTTGCAGTCTCCGCTTGTTGATCGAGCGAGCTCGGGGTGGGCGCAATCCAGCCAATCACTTCGAGCATCTATCATGTCCAACAGACGTGATCGACCCTTAAACCCTAGACCAATGAACCCTAGACCTTCGATCCTAAACTGTAAACCCTAAACCCTAAACCCTAAACCGTAAACCCTAAACCCTAAACCCTAAACCCTAAACCCTAAACCCTAAACCCTAAACCCTAAACCCTAAACCCTAAACCCCGGAGGCTCGACCATGATGCGGCTGAGAGGCGCATCTGCGTCCAGCAGCTCCTCGGTTCGAAAGGTTTAGGGTTTAGGGTTTAGGGTTTAGGGTTTAGGGTTTAGGGTTTAGGGTTGGGGTTTAGGGTTTAGGGTTTAGGGTTTAGGGTTTAGGGTTTAGGGTTTAGGGCTTAGGGGAGCACCACAGAAACCCCAGAAGCCTCCAAGTCCGGCTCCCCTAAATCCTCAAACCCTAAACCCTAAACCCTAAACCCTAAACCCTAAACCCTAAACCCTAAACCCTAAACCCTAAACCCTAAACCCTAAACCCTAAACCCTAAGCCCTAAACCCTAAACCCTACAGCCTCAAAAGCCCCCTTTGAAGAATGGGCTTTAAAGAGGCGCCGGTTGAAAGACCTACCCTAGGCCCCTGCTTGAAGGTTCATGGTATTCATTAGCCAAGGATAGCTAACCCCACATTATAACCATATTAGGGCACTTAAGGGGCTTACAAGTGGGTTATAAGTACAGTTCGAAGTGGTTAAGAAGTACCCTTAAGCCCCTAAGCCCAACATTTTCAAGCCCTAAGCCCCGAACTCTGCAGCCCCCCGAGTTTCACACCTTGCGAAGAAGCCTCTGGTTGGTCTTTTTGGGTTTCAGGGCTTTGGGGTTTCAGGGTTTCAGGGTTTCAGGGTTTCAGGGTTTCAGGGTTTCAGGGTTTCAGGGTCTCAGGGTTTTAGGGTTTCAGGGTTTTCAGGGTTTCAGGGTTTCAGGGTTTTAGGGTTTCAGGGTTTTGGGGTTTTCGGGGCTTAGGGTGTCCAGGGTTCAGGGTTCAGTGCGAAGGGTACGGGGGCAGGCTTCTTCCTGGCCTGGTGGCGGTGAGCCCCGCGGAGGCCTCTGCGCAGCTGTTAAGTAAGGTTTCGGATTTCGGGGTTAAGATTTCGGGGCGTTTAGGGTTTGTGATTTTTTCGTTGGTTTGGGGAATGAAGGGTTTGGTGTTAGGCTTCGGGTTTCAGGTAGAATGGAGGGTTCCGGCTTCAGGTTGAGGGTTTCCCCCGACAAGTTGAAGGCTACGGGGCTTCGGCTTTCAGGGGCATTCGGCAAAACGGGTTATCGCGGGACAACCGGGCTGAAGGTTGGATTCAGGGTTTAGGGTTTAGGGTTCAGGGTTTAGGGTTTGGGGTTTAGGGTCGTCTTGAGGCGACACAAGGCCAGGTCCCTCTGAGTAAAAGCCCTATTCTCGTAAGCCTCCACATAAGCCCACAGGTTTAACCCTAAACCCTAAACCCTAAACCCTCAGCCCTACACCCTAAACCCCAAACCCTAAACCCTAAACCCTAAACCCCAAACCCTAAACCCTAAACCCTAAACCCCCAAAAAACCCACAGGTTTCTGCCAACCACATCTCCGAGATGGTGGCAGGCCTCTTCCAGTCAGGGATGCCGGACGAAGGCCCCCTCTGGGGGGTGGGGAGGTTTAGGGTTTAGGGTTTAGGGTTTAGGGTTTAGGGTTTAGGGTTTAGGGTTTAGGGTTTAGGGTTTAGGGATTTTGGGGTTTGGGGTTTAGGGTTTGGCGTTTAGGAGAACTCCTCGTGGTGAGCCTGCGCGTATTTTGGGCGGATTGTTTTGGGCTCCTTACCCGAGGGTTTTCGCTTCGGCTTTTTTTGGGGGCTAGGGTTGAAGGATGGTGGTTTCCGAAATTGGGGTACCCTTTTGGAGTCCTCATTATAAGGGATAAGGGGATCCGACTGCTTGGAGGTCTATTTTGGGGGTCCGCTATTTTCGTAAACCCCCATGGGGTATTGGGCAGGAGGCCCTGGACGCTCGACGGCTGCTACGCGCGAGGCAACCCTCGACGGTTGAGGGTTGAGGTTTGAGGGTTTAGGGTTTTGGGTTTAGGGTTTAGGGGTTTAGGGTTTAGGGTTTAGGGTTTAGGGTTTAGGGTTAACCCCAGAAAAAGCTGTCCGAGCTTGTCATGCCATAGTTAGTTGATCAGCATGCGCTGCACCTCATCTGTGATCAGCTTGATGTCCTCGACAACAGAACAAGGCAACTCAACTGGCAATTCACCGAGGATTTTCAGGCTCGTGCCCGGCTCGTCTCGAAAGTCGGTGTCCGCAAGCGTGGCAGGCATGGCAAGCATGGCAGGCATGGAAGGCATGGCAGCCGTGGCATGGTTGGTGCTCGTGGCCGTTCTCTTCCCATCTCAGACAGGCGCTTCGTGCCTGCCAGCGGCCATTGACATCGGCGAGCGGAAGTACTTGACGAATGTCAACGGCGAGTCCTACCCCATTGGCGTGTATATGGGTAACTGGGATGCATCCTTCCTCACGAGCCACCTGCTGAAGATCATCATCGAGGACTGGGCGTTCTTTTTTCCCGACCTATCAGGAAGTATTAAACATGAAAAGATAGTGAATAAATAAACAACAAATAAATCAATATAAAGACAGAAATAAAGGTAAATCAAGAAATAAATAAGCAAATAAATAAATGAATAAAAGTCTGCATATAAACAAGAAATAAATGCACATAACTGTGTATATATATATATGTATATGTATGTGTATATATATATATGTATATATATCTGGCATCTTGTTTTTACATTTCGGCCTCAAGGAGCGCATGGGCTTCCACGCCGAGGCGAAGGGCCCGTGTCCTGACATGTTGAGTTGCTTCTACGCGCTCCTCGGCTGCACGTCCCCCAGCAACAGCAGCGACAGGGGATGCGGTCAACCAGTGACCTACAACGACGTCAACCTCGAGGCCTGGTCGGAAGGCTACCAGAATGAGTGGAAACTCATCCAAAGTCAGTACGCCTCCATGGCTCCTGTGGACCTGGGCAGCATGGGTTACGAGGGCACCTCCTCATTTTTCATCCGTCAGACGGCGCGGCGCCGTGCTTACCACGAGGATGGCACCGCGCTGGACTTCTACCGAGGATGGAACATGTCGTGGAGCCTGCCGTCGAAGTACTTCGATGACCTAGCTTCTATAAGCCGTAGCTTGATGGTGCCTTGTGCACAAACTCGTTTCATGGCGACAGAAGCGAACCAGAACTATCTGCGAATCACAGGTGGGGTGCTGAACAAGGGCAGGGCACGCCGTAGAGCTATGCACTAGTGGGCTTGGCGTCATTGTGTAGGTTCAGTTCAGCCATAGGCATGTTGGTGAGAAGCGGCAGGTGACGATGCGGGTGTCGAGATGCTCCCTGATGGCACGCTTGCTGCCATTTGTCCAGACGACTACTTCTGGCTCTCTCCGACCTGCCGCGAAGATTCGACTCGGTGCGTGCCGTATGTCACTGGTGGCACGGGTTGGGGTCTGGATGATCTGATGCAAAAGGTTACCAGCTATGACATGCCTGTTGCCATTGGGGTTGCAAGATCATGGTCGACACTACCTCGAGAGTTCAACGTGTTCTTTTACTGGTTTGTTCCAGATACTACGTTTTTGGATCTTGATCCAGTCGAGATCGTGTTTCCTCCATACGACTTCCGTGCATACACCAGTGGTGACAAGCGTACTGTGGCTGCATCGACCGCAATTACCAAGATCGTCAGCCAAGACTTGGTCACCTTAGCGCCCTCGGTGGAAGACCTCGTGCGGAACTTGCGATTGGGCCGTAATGATGTCATGAACATGTTGAAGGACATGCAAGACACCGGAGACTCCTATGCGACCGTGGCCTGTCACTTGGTCAAAGTTGTACAGACTTGAGGGCAACTGTTTGCATCTCCCTTTCGGGGTGCGATAGAAAGCCGGGCAGCCCGAGTCAGGGGTCGACAGCCAAGGTCGCTGGTTACAGTCGAACCCTAGCTGGCAGGATTGGCTGCCGGACCGCACCAAGTGCTCCCCCGGCTTCGGCCTCTACGACACGACGCAAGAGACCTTTATTGGCACACGTGCAGACCCGACTTTCTTGGCGTGCCGTCCTTGTGTGTCCGGAAGGTATTCAGCTCGGTTGCATGACGCCGCAGGATCTGCGCGCCCGGAAGTAGCCAAGCATCGGGTGCAGCCCTGCAGTGCGAGCCGTGCCAACTTGGGAAGTCACAGAATAACTCCGGCAGCCAAGCGTGCAATCGTTGCAAGATCGGTGAGTACCAGGATGAGCCAGGTTCCTTTGTGGTGCTTTACTGTAACTTTAGATCCTTCGCCTTTTTTGGGGTTTATTGGGGCTTCTTGCTAAGGCAGCCCTAGAATTGTAGATTTATAGCTGCCCTCCCAAGTGCAGCCAAGGTTCCAGCAGCTGCAAGGTTTGCCCAGGTGGCACGACCCTCGGCTTGGGCTCCTTGGCGCTTGAGGACTGCGGCTGCCCAAAAGGCTTCATTGACTCGAGTGGCACAAGGAACCTGAGCTGCATGGAGTGCGGGGAAGGCCGGGACCGTTCAGGATTTCAGGGTTTAGGGTTTAGGGTTTAGGGTATTTTTCTGGTTTTTTTCTCTTCCTCCTTAAGTGAGAGCGAGGGAACAAGATGCGTTGTGTGAGAGGCTTGGACTGCCCGGCGCTCGCCACGCTACAAGGCCTTCTGTCCGGCAGCTCGGACCTTGGCCCAGAGTTCGTGGCGAGCATCTTGCCCGGATTCTACAGCAGCGTGGCGGAGCCGCTGGACCTGTATCGCTGCGTCGAGGCTGCTGCAGGCACCCGCTGTCCGGGGGGCGTCCCTGCAGCTTGTACGGGACTGCTGAACAACACGGCCTGCACCGACTGCCCCAGCGGAAGGCACTGGGACAGGTCTGAGGGAGAGTGTGAGGAGTGCACACCCTGGCAGCAACTCGGCTGGGTGTTCGCAGTCGCGGTGGTGTTGTCAGGCCTGGTCATGGTCTACTACATGATGACTGCTCAAAGCACGGCCAAGGCTTCCGTGCTTTTTACAACGACGTGTGCGTTCGGCATGACCATCTCGTCGCTACAATCCGTCGGCATCATTGGGACGATGACCGTTCGAGTTCCCGAAGGTTTGAAGGCCATCTATGCGTTTCTTCAGGTCTTTCTGCTGGACTTCGACAACTTTGCCTTCAGCTGCGTCGCAGGTGGTTCTGCCCGTGCTCGTTACATTGCCTCGGTCCTTGTCTTCCCGGGTGCTGTATGCTGGCTCGTGTGCTGCTACTATGCATCCAAGCTCTCGCCCAAGAAGCTGCGATGGGAAGCCAGCAAGACCAAGAGCACCATAGGGGCCTTGCTTCAGCTTTCATTCAGCACGATGAGTACCATTTCCATGGCACCAATGATGTGCTTCAGGCTTTGGGGTGGGGGTTTAGGGTTTAGGGTTTAGGGTTTAGGGTTTAGGGTTAACCCTGAACCCTAAACCCTAAACTGAGTATTGCCTCGGTAAGAACCTAGAGATACCCAGAGAACCATTTCTGCCTTGAGCTTCAAGAATGTGTTTCCCTGCATCAGTCACCCGAATGGCGTCTTCAGCCTCTTGAAGTACCCCAGCATCACTTGTGGCACGGAGGACCCCGTTCCTTTGCATGTGGGACCCCAGGCCTTGCTCGTGCCCTCTGCGAGCTATGCAGTGGTTAGTCGGGTGAGCCTTCCGAAGGTTTTGTTACGTGGTCTCTTCAGGGTGACGCTTCGATTCAGTGGGTTCGGGTTGGCTTGTGCTTGGCCTGGCTTCATGATGTCATGGGTCTGTGTAGTGGGCTGTGAGCCTGTGGTCTGAACAAAGCTTCTGTGTCGTTGCTCCAGCTGCTCAACATGCCAGCAAGCCTGGAGCTAGCATAGCACCCAGTCGGAAGCAGCTTTCACCTTTGGATTCTGCCCGGAGGAAGAAGGTCCGTGCAACAAAAACAAGCCTAGTTCATCCCTTCTTCGTGGTCAGAGCCGGAAGTATTGCGGATGTAAAAAAGGAAAGCTCTCACCCTGCAGGATCACACCGTCATGCTCATCTTCGGTGTGCTGCTCCTCCTGCTGGGCGTCCTGGGCTTCCTTGCCGCATGCACCTACGCCGTGGTCGTGGTGCCGCGATGGAGCAGGGATGGGCACCACGCGAATGTGAAAGCCTTCAGATTCCTGCTGTTCCGCTTTCGGCTGGACTCCTGGTGGTTTGGACTGCTGCTGCTGCTACGGGGTCCGCTGATGTCGCTCCCGATCGCCCTGGCGACGGACTATCCGCCTGTGCAGGTCACGTGCGTGATGCTCGTGTTCCTGGTGATCCTGATCATCCAGGCGAATGCCTGGCCGTGGAAGGTGCCACTTCTGAACGTGCTGGACTGCTTCATTGGCTTCTGCATCACCATGCTTGTGGCTTCGAACTCCTTCTACCTGGGCGACCTCGAGGGTAGCATGAAGGACTTTGCCGATGCAGCGGGCTCGGTGATCATGGGCATGATGGGAGGCTAAACCCTAAACCCTCAACCCTCAACCCTCAACCCTCAGCCCTCAACCCTCAACCCTCAACCGTCAACCTTCAACCCTAAACCCTAAACCCTAAAACCCTAAACCCCAAACCTAAACCCTAAATGGGCATGATGGGAGGCGCCGTCGCTTTGCTCTTCGTCATGACCGTCTGTGCCTTGGCTTTCCGGGCGGCGCTCGGCGGGCAGCAGGAGCTCATCGCCTTCAACCTCCAGAGGACTTTTTGCTTTGTTTTTTTCCTCACCCTCGGTGCGGGGTTGTTAGATCTTAAACTCAACTTTTTTTCTTGTCCGGAACTCTTCTTGGTCTACTCCTCGCTCATCTTTGGAGCGCCCAACCCTGGAGAGCCCAACCTTGTCACCGGAGTGCCCAGCCCCAGAGTGTCCCTGGAGTGCCCAACCCCAGACTATCTCTACCAAGAGAGGGTGGGGATGTTCGAAGTGAAATAATTTGTTGGTGCGGTTGGCCCTTTCAGTGTTACAAGGTTAGGTTAGGTCGGCCAGGCCTGCTAAAGCATGCCCCTGCCCATATAGTCTGGGGGGCAGTTTTTCACTTCTGCCAGCGCCTTATGAAGGCCTACTGTGAGTTCGACAAGAGAAGACAAGTGCTCAAAATTGCTTGTCTAGGCAGGCTTCGGTTGTGATGTTGTCAGACAGACGTGCTCTTACACCACATCTTAGCTTGCAGCGGGTTGCATCTTGAAGAGGACGCCGGCGCCCACCCTCGTTGCAGAAGCCATGCAGTCCATGGCAGCCAAGCTCGCAGAGATGGATCGGGAAGGACTGGTGAGGGCGTTGTCAGCGATGGGAGTTTACGACAGCAAGTTGCTTCTGGCGTCGGTGTCCTTGCTCGGCACAGAGGTCGTCCCGTCCGATGCCGATGAGATGGCAAAGAGGTGGAGCGAAAGGGCTCGTTAGCAGACGCATAGAAGGATATAGAATTATATAATTTTATATACTATACACATACACATACGCATACACATATGTATATATATATATATATATATATATATATATATATATTATATTTATTTATACACATATATATATATATGTATATTTATATACATATATATATATATATATATGTCAACGCGAGGCAGACGGGGTGGGGTAGAAAATGCATGTTCGTGACACATCGACTCGTGCAGGTACTGCTTCCGGATCAGCTCCGCTTCCTTCGGGCCACCGGCGCCGCCCCAGAGTCCCTTGGTCATAGTTGGGTAACATTTTACATTTTTGAGGGTACTTAAACCCAATAAGGAAGAACAACTCAAATTTTTAAGGGTACTTAAACCCAATAAGGAATAACAACTCAAATTTTTCATACGATCCCAACCATGAACTAGGTCCTGGCCCTGCGAAGAGCGCGCCGAGCAAAGCAACGGAGACGGCTAAGGAGGCAGAGTTTGGCCAACGCCCCAGCGAGGGCGACCTGTCTCCAAGCAATGTCCGGGCAGCCGAAGAGCCGGGCATGGCCAACGCAGCAGATCCTGGTGGGGATTTGGGTTCAGGGAAGGAGCCCCGTTCCTTGCGCGAGGAGACGCAGCAGGCGTACATCTAGCCTCCAGCCTGCCGTTGTCGAGCCGGTCGGCTGAAGCCTGCTTTTGCCAGCTTGGCACTTGCGGCTTCGGCTTACTGTGTTCTGTTAATGTCAATGTTCCATCGTTCTTCCGCAAAGTCGCGGAGGGCCGCGGGAGGAGCTTGAGCCTGTTGGATTCGTGGAACATGGTTCAGCATGATCGAGCTTATTTTAAGCGGTCATTAATGGTGTTCCTTTGCGCCTACTGAGCAGGGCACGTGCCTCGATGCAGTACAGTGCGTTATCTTCTTGTAGGTTTTTAAGCACACAATCAGTGTATAACAGCGGCTTTTTCGAATTCGGACGGATCCTAGATTCTTGTTTTGCACATGTTGCACTGCGACACCGGACTCCCATTTTCCCCGTGGGGACCGTCATGTGCGCTGTTGCAACAGCACGTATGGGCCAGGAGTCCCGATTATGGTGCGGACAAGCAACCTTCAGATCGCCACGGAAGAAGACATTTAGCATTAATGGCTTGGGGGGCGCGCATCCCAATCCGAGATGGTAAATTTAAGCCGCCAACTGACTTGGCCCAAACCTAAACGTTCAACTGACCCTGTTTTGCAAACCCCAATCCTTAAAACCTAAACCCTAGACCCCAAACCCTAAACCCAAAACCCCAAACCCTAAAGCCTAAACCCTAAACCCTAAACCTCCAAGAGCGGGGGGCCCGTCTCCCTTGAGGCGCTGAATCTGGCCAGCGCCTTCGCTGGGCTTCTGGTGGACCACTGGAAGCTGAGCTCCTTGCAAGGCCCTTGGGGGTTTCGGGTTTAGGGTTTAGGGTTCGGGGTTTGGGGTTTGGGTTTAGGGTTTAGGGTTTAGAGTTTAGGGTTTGGAGGGTTCTCAAGCGCGCGTGGGGGCTGGGCCCAGATCATGGGGGTGCTTGGTCATGCTTTGTACGATAAAGGCTAGCCTCCCCTTCGAGGTTCAAAAGGAGGGGTCGGAAGAATCACGAATCGTGTTTTCTTAGGGGTCCCTATGTAGTTCTACTATAAGAACCCCCCGAAACCATATTCTAATTCCCAAGGCCCCTAAACCCTGAACCCTGAACCCTGAACCCTAAACCCTCAACCCTAAACCCTAAACTCTTAACCCTTAACCCTTAACCCTTAACCCTAAACCCTAAACCCTAAACCCTAAACCCTACTTTAAATCTTAAGGCCTCCATGTTGTGCTTTTGGGGTTACGGGAAGACCCCGGCATGTTTTGGAGGTTGGGACTCTTCTTTGGAGCTTGTTGGGTTCTGGAAGCCTGTTGTGAAGAGTCTGGGTCTTGTTTGGGGGGGTTCGTGGGGGTTCTGAGTGGGGGCCTGTAGGATCCTTTGGACGCAAAACCCATTAGGGTTTAGGGTTTAGGGTTTCGGGTTTAGGGCTACCTGTAACTTCCCTGAGCCCAAAACCCAACGCATGAAACCCCCCTCCCCCTCAAAGAAGCCGAAGCCTCTCTCGAAGCAACGAGCGGCGCGCTGTCGGAGGCGACCACTCGCCCATGGCCCTGGCGCTGATTTCGGAGGGCCTGAAGTTCGGCCTGAAGGCGACCTGGGAGTTTAGGACCCCCAAAAAGCCTTAAACCTTGTAAATACCCTAAAGCCTTAAACGCCTCTAAAACCTTAAACCCTAAACAACCTCAAAGGGGTGTTCAGCCTGCGGGGGGTTTCAGGGTTGCGGAGAGTTCGGGGTTTGCAGTTCTTTCGGGGAGGTGGCAGTGCAGGGTTAGGGTTCAGGGGGGCTTACGAACTTAAACCCTAAACCATAAACCCTAAAGCCTATACCTTAAACCCTAAACCCTAAACCCTAAACCCTAAACCCTAAACCCTAAACCCTAAACCCTAAACCCTAAACCCTAAACCCTAAACCCTAAACCCTATACCTTAAACCCTAAACCCTAAAACCCTGAACCCTGAACCCTGAACCTGAAACTCCCACAAGGACTGCGGCAGCCTGCGGAAGCAAGCCCGGTTTTTGCTCGAGACGGCCGTCCAGAGGCATGGCAGCTTTAGGCGCGCATTGCATATACCCTTACCGGGCTTAAGACTACCACTTGTTTGGGAACATTGCATATACCCTTATTGGGTTTAAGAGTACCCACCTTTTTTTGGGAACATTGCAGCACAGGGGCTTCGAGACTTCGAGGCGAACCTGTTTGGGTCTGGGGCATTCAGGTTCGGGGGTTTGGGTTTGAGGCTTGCGGGTGGAACCAGTCACCGTCTGCACGCGGTAAGGTTCTGAATCCATAATGTCGGTTCTTCAGACCCAGGGCTTCTCAAGTTTTTGCTCCTGCTAAGCTTCTGGCTCAGTTTGAAGCGTGATAGCCGCCTGGGAGCCCTTTTAGATAACCCTAAACCCTAAACCTAAACCCTAAACCCGAAACCCTAAACCCTAAACCCTAAGCCCTAAACCCAGGGCCATCCCGTGCCACTTCTCCTTCTCCCTCCTCCCCCCCTGGGATTTAAGGAAAGCGCTGGTCGCTAAGACTGCCGAGAGCGACTTCCGAAGTCATGCAGGCTGGGGATTGCCCTCAAGCGCGCTGATATACCCCTTTTATACCCTGCAAAGCCCAAGGGCCTGTACTTCAGAGCCCCTTAAAGAAGGCAAGGGACCATATGAAGGGGACCCTGTAACCCTAAACCCTGAGAGATGAGAACCCGCGATAAAGAAGGCAAGGGACCATGTAACTTCCCCTTTAACCGCCTGAACCCTGAAGCTCTGGAACTCTGGGCACTCAGGGTTTAGGGTTTAGGGTTTAGGGTTTAGGGTTTAGGGTTTAGGGTTATCTTGCATTCGGGTCTGAAGCTCTTGGAAGGTCTCTCCCTTTGCCCAACAATGTCGGAAGCTCCGAGCACGCGAGGGATGGTTTTCGACTTAGCATACAGGCGCGCGTCTGCGCAGTTTCTAAATGAGTGGTCCTTTTTGTGGTGCCTTTTAAGAGGTCTCCGTACGGTTTGCAGCCCATCTCTATCTTTAGCCAGTCTGTTTGTACATAGCGGGCCCCGTGAAGCTTCGGGAACATGCTTTTCTGCATATTACAGTGGGTTCAGAGACCTCGATCCTGAACCCCTAAACCCCAAACTCTAAACCCCAAACTCTAAACCCCAAACCCGAAACCCTAAACCCTAATCCAAAACCCTAAACCCCAAACCCCAAACCCTAACCCCAAACCCCACACCCTAAACCCTAAACCCCAAATGCTACACCCCAACTATTCGCCGCAGCACCCGGGAAGTGCCTGCAGGGGTCGGGCTTTCGGCGGTTTCCTCGGCCTGGCGCAGCTATTGGGTGCCTCCAGCCGCAATTTGGGGAAGAGTTCGGGTTTGGGGTTTAGGGTTTAGGGTTTAGGGTTTGGAGTTTAGGGTTTGGGGTTTAGGGTTCAGGGGTTTAGGGTTTAATAGGGGGCTTGGGGTTTAGGGTTTAGGCGCTTAGGGCTTCTTGGGGCTTAGAGGTTTAGGTTTGGAGTTTTCGCTTAGGGCTGCGAGCAAGAGATCTACCAACAGATGTTGTACAAGACAGCAGCTCAAAGAGTCTTCTACATCAGCCAGGAAATAACGCCCAGGACAAGTGCATGAGCAAGTTGCTTCAGATTTCACAAGCAACAAACGCGTTTCAGATTGTTGACCGAGGCAAGTTATTTGTGTAACCAAGTGAAGCAGATGAAGCAGCAGCATACGAAGCGAATCATATTCTAGAGTCCAGAGCCTCCAACCCTTGAGAAAGGTGCGTCCAGGGATTACCTGTCAAAGGTTTAGAGTTTATAAAACTCGGAAATGTATTCCAGAGGTGTAATCACTTGACAGGGTGTGCCAGCAGCGGATAGAAGAAAGAACGCCATAGAAACCCTGAAAAAGCCTGTCAGTCGTGGATGTGTCCAAAGGTGTTCAATTATCAGTCCTAGAGATTTATGATGGTGTCCACGAGGCAGGTCCTTGATTGTGTTACAGGCGTGTAAGAGCGGATGGGTCTCAATGCAACATGAAGGTTTCCCAAAATAGGGGTGCCTCTTATGTACCGAAGAGTGCGATAGTCCTTCTTTGTGGGAACCTTCATGATGCTTGAGGATTTAGGGTTTAGGGTACGCTGAAACCCAAACTCAGACCACACCAGTTGCCAGGAGCTCTTCGACACCTTGGAGGACACACCTGGTAGGGGATCCCGAACCACAGATTCATTTTGTGAGTGTTGGCTTTCAGGACCTTAGGGCAGTTTTCGAACCTTTTTCCAGGAATTCTTGGGGTTTGTGGCTAGTGGGTCAGGGTTTCTGCGTTTTACGGTTTGGCGTTTCAGGGCTTACTGAGTGTTTTCAGGGGGTCCGTCCTTGCCTGATGTCTCCGGCAACCTGCAGCCCAACGAGGGGCCCAGCCGAGAGTGGCTTAGGGTTTAGGGTTTAGGGTTTAGGGTTTAGGGTTTAGGGTTGAGGGTTTAGGACCCAACACTCAAGCATGCCTCAGTGCCCATTGGAGAATGTATCTGACAAGGCCGAAGGAGGTTGTTGAAGAAACGTGGTCCCACTTTCTAAGCCCCAAGCCCTATACCCTAAACCCTAAACTCTAAACCCTAAAGCCTAACGCCTAAAGCCAAAAGCCTAAACTCTAAGCAAACCTCCACTTCTAGAGTTCCGCTTCTCTTCTGAGACTCAGCAACAGTGGGCCGCCTTGCAGAGACTGAGCAGATCACCCGAGAGCGACCCAGTTTCGCAGGGTCGAGGGTTTAGGAAGAAGATGATAATTCAGCTAAGGGCCTTGAAGGTCTTGAAGGTCTTAAAGCCCTACTACCCCAAGGTCCGAAACCTCCCCCACAACCTGAAACCCTCAAGGCCCTGAAGCCTTGGAACGCCCAAACACCCCAAGACAGGACTACTCCAGCCACCTGATCAAAGCGGGTTGGGACGCACTCATCAAGCGGTTGATGAAGCTCGGCCGCATTTTTTCTTTTTCGGGGGAGGGGGGAGGGAGTTCACCTAAGCCCTGAACCCTAAACCCCAAACCCTAAACCCTAAACTCTATAAGCCCAATTTCCGAACGTTCGAGTTGCTGCTGATGACGCCACCTCCTCCCTTGCTAGGAAGCTTAGGTGGGTCCGTGCTGAGAACCAGAGGCTTTGTAAGGACACGCTTGAGACATGCCAGGGTGCGGAGGTTCTCGGAAGACGCAGAATTTGAGGTCAGCTCAGGTAGCAACCCTAAACCCTAAACCCTAAACCCTAGACCCTAATCCCTAAACCCTAAACCCTAAACCCTAAACCCTAAACCCTAAACCCTAAATTATACAGCACCTTATCGTCCGGGCACCCAAGAAGGGACCACCCATTTCAAAACGGCCCGGCGCGTACTTCCTTCCAAGAAGCCCAGGCAGTCGGGAACCTGCTTTCCTTCTCCCTAAACCATAAACCCTAAACCCTAAACCCTAAACCCTAAACCCTAAACCCTAAACCCTAAACCCTAAACCCTACACCACTAAGCCCTAAACCCTAATCTGTTGTGCCGCTGCGTCAGGCAGTACCTCGCTGAGCTGAAGAAAGGAGGCCAGGGGGTGGGGGGGGGGGGGGCGGACGGCTGTTGGTGCCATGAAGGGTTGTAGTGTTTAGGCGTGCCTAGGGTTTAGGGTTTAGGGTTTGGGGTTTGGGGTTTGGGGCTTGGGGTTTAGGGTGCCTCGCTCCACAAGCTGCTTTAGTCCACCTAAAACCCCCAAGCCCGGAAGTGGCAACTCGCAAGGTGGAGGGCCTGCAGGCGCTAAGGCCGCTAAGGCCGCCCAAAGCCCCAAAACGAAACCCGAAACCCGAAACCCTAAACCCTAAACCCTAAACCCTAAACCCTAAACCCTAAACCCTAAACCCTAAACCCTAAACCCTAAACCCTAAACCCTAAACCCTAAACCTTCACAAGATTGCCAGGTGCCAGCCAGCTCGCCCCATGCTGCTTCGGCGCCTTTTGGCTGGCCACTCGGCAACTCCTTTTGGCTGCCCTTCCTTGCCGGGGGGGGGGGGGGGGGGGGGGGTTTTTTTTTTTTTTTTTTTTTTTAAAGGGTTTTTTTTTGGGGGGATATAGGGTACCGAATAAGGTGCCCTACATCCCCCCCATATATGCCCTTTAAGGGATTGTATAGGAGAGGAGTTCATTTTTTCTTTCTGTTTGTGCAGGCTTTGGGTGCTTTAGGCTTTTTTTGTTGTGTTGGGGGTTGTTGCGGGTTTTAGGGCTCCTTGGTGGTCCCTGCGGCCCTTGATGCCCCCTGGATTTGTTATAGGTTTGCGGCTTCGGGAAGCCGGAGTTTGCAGAAGAGGTTTAGGTTTGAGGGGGAACCCGTGTTTTTTTTTTTGTTGTGGGTGCTTTTTTGCTGTGGGTGCTTTTTTCGGGGGCCGCCCCGGTGAGTGAGTGACCTGGCGCGTGTCGCCCCCGCACCCGCAGCAAAAAAAAAAGGGGCCCCCGCACCCGCAGCAAAAAAAAAACGCGCCCCCGCACCCGCAGCAAAAAAAAAAAAAACGCACCCCCCCCCTCCCCCCCTTCCTCCCCACCCCCCAGGTGAGTGAGTGACCTGGCGTGTGTCGCCCCCGCACCCGCAGCAAAAAAAAAAACGCGCCCCCGCACCCGCAGCAAAAAAAACGCACCCCCCCCCCCCCCCCCTTCCTCCCCACCCCCCCAGGTGAGTGAGTGACCTGGCGCGTGTCGCGCCCGCACCCGCAGCAAAAAAAAACGCGCCCCCGCACCCGCAGCAAAAAAAAAAACGCGCCCCCCGCACCCGCAGCAAAAAAAAAAAACGCGCCCCCCCCCCCCTTCCCCTTCCCCCAGGTCATTTGTTTTGCAATTTCCTCCCCAACCCCGTCCCCAACGCCCCCCCCTCCTTTAAACTGTGCAAGCGTTTTCAAAGCACTGAATCCTTCTCAAGGCCATCATGCGAGCATTGTGTTTGCAAACGGTGGAGGGAGGGCTGCACCCCGCCCGACCCCCCTCCCCCTCTTTAAAACCGTGCCAGCTAGCTTCTCAGCATATGAATCCTGTCCAAGCCTATCATGCCAGCATTGGGTTTGCAAATTGGGGGGGGCTGCGCCCCCCCCAACCCCCCCGCTTCTTAAAGCCATGCCAGCTTGCTTCAAAGCAAATGAATCCTTTCCGAAACCATCCTGAGAGCATTCCCCCCCGCTTGAAAGGGGGGGGGGGGGCTGCGCTTTTTAGCCGGGCAAGCTTGCTTCAATCATACGAATCCCTTCCAAACCCATGATGATGCGAGCATTGTGTTGCAAATGGGGGGGGGCTGCGCCCCCCCCAACCCCCCCGCTTTTTTTCGCCGGCAAGCCTGCTTCAAAGCTTACGAATCCCTTCCAAACCCATGATGCGAGCATTGTGTTTTCAAATGCGGCGGTCTGCGCAGCCCCCAACCCCCTGAAAAAGAGGGAATATATGCCTGCTTTCCTACGAAAATTCAGACCTTATAGTGGAAGTTTAATTTTCCGTTTAAAAATAGAGATATAAACGTCTTCTCAGTAAAGAATCGAGAAAATAGAGCTTGTGTTATGAGACATGAAAAAAAACACTTGTTGTCTACGAGTCACAGATAGAGATGATGCATGTACTCTTATGACAACATAGAGAGCTTTTCATGTATTCCTCTCATGTCTTCCTCGTGAAATAAAGAGAAGAAGTCTGAAAATACTGACAAAATACAAAACTATAGAACAATAGAGGTTTTCGCTATACAATATAGAGAAATTAGATGTTTCCTATGACAACATAGAGGAAATAGAGGCTTTCATACGAAAATATAGCGAAAATACAAAGTGTTTTCATATTAAAATGTAGAGGTCTTGATATTCAAATATAGAGAATAGAGGTTTTCATGTTCAAATGTTAAGACAATGGCGGTTTGCCTATTCAGAGACAGAGAAAATAATTGGCTTCCTATTAAAATAGGACAAGAGGAACAAAAACACTTTTAATTGCAAGTCACATATTGAGATAACACAGAGAATAAGTTTCTCATGTATTCCTCTCTCATGTCTTCCTCATTAAATATAGAGGAAAACTATGACGATATAGACAAAAATAGAGAGAAGTAGAGGTTTTCGTTATATAAAATATAGAGAAATAGAGGTTTTCGAATTAAAGTAGAGGTTTTCATACTACATGTAGAGAAAATAGAGGTTTTCATATTCAATTATGGAGAAGAAAGAGATTTTCCTATTCAAATCTAGAGAAGAAAGAGGTTTTCCTATTGAAAATTAGAGAAATAGAGGTTTTCATAGTAAAATATAGAGAAAACAGCAAAAACGCTCCGCACCCGCAGCGAAAAAAAAAAGCGCCCCCACGGCACCCGCAGCAAAAAAAAAAACGCGCCCCCGCACCCGCAGCAAAAAAGAAACGCGCCCCCGCACCCGCAGCAAAAAAAAAAGCGCGCCCCCGCACCCGCAGCAAAAAAAAAAACGCGCCCCCGCACCCACAGCAAAAAAGCACCCGCAACAAAAAAAACAACACTCTTACCAGGTTTGAGGGTTGACGACCTTGACAATTATTAATGTAATACGAGCAAGAGTCGTAAGAGTGATGCTAAATAGTTCTGATGGTGTTGGGCTCCCCGGGAGCAACGCCCCTTGCCGAGGAGGTTTTCTTGATCCGGGCCCTGGACCACGACAACGACAGCGTGCAGAAGTTTGTTCTGGGGCAGCTGATGTGCTACTTGGCATGGAGAGCCATGTAGGGTTCTAGGGTTTTAGTGTTTTAGGGTTTAGGGTTTAAGGATTGTCCCATCATACTTCAGGGGCGATAGGTGGTGGGCCTCAGATGGGCGGTTGTTAGATAGGGACTACTCGGGACCCACTTTGATCGCGAACCCTGATTAGATGGCCCTTACACCCTTAATCCTTCGTTTCAAGACGAATCCCGAAACCCCGCCCTAAACGATCCTGCCCGCAAAAACCTGAAAACCTGAAACCCCCTAAGCCCTAAACCCTACAAGGCCCTATCCCGAAACCCTACCCTTAACCCAAAACCGAATTCCCTAAAACCCTAAACCCTACAAGGCTAATCCTTAAACCCTACCCTAAACCCAAAACCCAAAACTCCAAACCCTAAAAGTCCTAAAGCCCTGCAAGGCTTATCCCTAAACCCCAAACCCAAAACGACCAAACCCTCAAGCCCTAAACCTCACCGGGCTAATCCCTAAACCCCAAACCCCAAAACCCCAAAGCCCTAAAGCCCTAAAGCCCAAACCCCACAAACCCTAAACCCTAAACCCTCAACCCTAAGCCCTAAACCCTAAACCCTAGACCCCACAAGGCCTAGATCTCCATGTGGCCGCCCTCTCGGAGAGCTTTGTCCTCACGGAGGTGCTTCCGCGCGTCTCGGCGTGGGCATGGTGGCAGCTTCGAGGGTCGTGCAGAGTATGGGCGGTTTAGGGTTTAGGGTTTAGGGTTTAGGGTTTAGGGTTTAGGGTTTAGGGTTTAGGGTTTAGGGTTTAGGGTTTAGGCCTTAGGGATTTCGGGTTGAGGGGCTTAGGGCGGGTTAGTTTTTTTTACAGCTTGTACAGGGTTTGGGGTCGAGTCACACCCCTAATCCTCATTTTTTGCGTATGGGTATTTCATACGACCTCTCAAGACCCTAACCCTACACCCCACTCAAGCTTAGGATTCGGCAATGGAATTGACAGCCTCTACCCGCGCACTGATGTCGAGAATCTCAGTCGCATCTTGAGAAGGCCAGGGGCTTTCAGGGGCTTAGCGCTTTTTTAGGTTTGCCATGCGCTTCCCATACTCTTTTCGAAAATGGCGAAGTGGGATGCGAAGCGCGTTGGCGCAGCCACCAGTCGTGCAGCGTACTCAGGGTTCTTACATATGTACTGCTTAAGGCCTAAGAAATCTTTGCGTAGAAGCGAGGAGTAACCCGGCTGTTGGGCAACGTCCTTGGTGAAGAATTCCATTGCCTGTGAGGAAGCCGGGGCCCAGCCACCCACGTTTTGAGTTTTTATGGGTGCTTACCCTGTCATTATATCCAGGAGAGAATGCTACATGGTGGATTGGGTCGTTATGTGGTGCGTTAATGGAGGAAATGAGTTGAGAAAGCTGTTGGGAAAGTACTAACTGATTTAGGGCTTTAGGGTTTAGGGTTTCAGGGTTTTAGGGTTTCAGGGTTTAGGGTTCAAGTTTCAGGGCTCTACCCGTTTTTGTAGCCCTCAGTGCCTTAACAAGGTACCACGCCTACTATAAGCCCTAGGTAGAGGCTTCGCCCCGAAACAATCATGCCTTCCTTACAATCCAATAGCCGTGTAAGCCCTAAGTTCTAAAACCCCAAAAACCTAAATCCCCAACCGAAAGGCTAAGCCCAACACCGTCCAGGCCGCTGAAGCCCTTGCGAGTGCCGCCCAACTGAGTGCCAAGGAGAACCTTCGAGCGCCAGGTGACGAGCTTCTTCCTGGGCTTCATGCACCTCGGCACTTTCAGGGACAGGCTTTTGCTTGCTCAAACCCTCAACCCTTAAAGCCTAAAGCCTAAAGCCTAAAGCCTAAAGCCTAAAGCCTAAAGTCTAAAGCCTAACGCCTAAAGCCTAAAGCCTAAAGCCGAAAGCCGAAAGCCTAAACCCTAAAGCCTAAAGTCTAAAGCCTAACGCCTAAAGCCTAAAGCCTAAAGCCTAAAGCCTAAAGCCGAAAGCCGAAAGCCTAAAGCCTATTGCCTGAAGCCTAAAGCCTAAAGCCTAAAGCCTAAAGCCTAAAGCCTAAAGCCTAAAGCCTAAAGCCTAAAGCCTAAAGCCTAAAGCCTAAAGCCTAAAGCCTAAAGCCTAAAGCCTAAAGCCTAAAGCCTAAAGCCTAAAGCCCAAACCCTAAAGCCTAAAGCCTAACGCCTAAAGCCTAAAGCCTAAAGCCTAAACCTCAATTTCAGGTTTGAGGCTTCTTGCTTCTGCTAAAACGATGCTCAGGACTTGAAGCCCTTCTGGTGAAGGAGGGGTGAGGGTGGAGGGGGCTTGACGGGTGGGTTTAGGGCGGTGAGGAGCTGCAATACATGGGGGTTAAGAACCCTAAACCCTAAACCCTAAACCCTAAACCCTAAACCCTAAACCCTAAACCCTAAACCCTAAACCCTAAACCCTAAACCCTAAACCCTAAACCCTAAACCCTAAACCCTAAACCCTAAACCCTAAACCTTAAACCCTGAACCCTGAACCCTGAACCCTGAACCCTAAACCCTAAACCCTAAACCCTAAACCCAAGTCTGCGAGTCATGACCAGAGTCGTTTCACGCCTGTGCCCAGCAAAACACACTGCAATCTAGGGCTCCTCACAAGTGTCTGGCGCCGAATGCGGTTGAAGTTGATGGACATCCGGGCAGTATCCGGGCCAGTTTGTACCTTCTTGATTTGACAGAACGGAGTCCCGTTTTTTGCTACTTACATCTATCTGGCAACATCTAACAGAATCATGCCAATGTTCCAGCATCGTCTTAGGAAGATTTGCTATGTCAGACATCCACGTTCCTCATCCCATACGGCATGACTTGGCACACAAAGCCCGCAGCAAGATTTGGATCTCAAGCGCGCCCTCGGCTGTTGATGCAACATAGGCATCGTCATGAAGGCCGCGTTCAACCTACTCTTGCGTCTGGCTGTGCTGGTACAAGTTGGGCTGGCAGATGGAGAGGTGATGGCAAGCCCGCCCAGTGACGGACAACTTCAAGCATATGCTAGTGCAAGATGCTGGCGTGGGTCTGCAACGTTCAAGGCCGAGTACACAAGGACGTGCACTGACACTTGGTGGAGCGGTCAAGGTTGCACGGAGACGAAGAAGTACCGAATGGTTTGCAGTCGCTGACCGCGCAAGTGTCACGGATTATATGGCTAGTGAGCTACCGAAGATGCACTACCTTGATTTCCTATCAGCAACACGGAAACTTTTTGCTGCAGTTCGATGCAGACCTATGTATAGATCTTTCTCTGCATGCGCCTGCACTTCAAGGTGGCATGGATGAGAGCAGAACCCGACAGAAGAGCGCGGACACACCAAGTATTTGCCCAGCACGGTACCCATTGAGATTCTAGTTTGCGTGTGGCAGGTGTCGGGATAGCATCGTCCGCGTGTAGAATCGCCAGGTGAAAGTTGCTTCTGTGGTTTCACGAAGCAAGGTAAACCTTGGTGATTACATAGTTTTCTTGTGTTGTTATGGTTGGTGTTCTTGTGGGTGCTTGTCGTTTAGCTGGATATCTTGTTGATCAGGATACATTCCGTAAAATACGTGGCTTATTTCTCCAATATGAAGTTAGTTATGCTTCTAATCTATGTTTCTAAGTTTTTACACAATAGGGCATAAGTTTATATGATATACTTTTTTTACATGAAAAAGACAGGATGAGTTCACATGATGATTTTCAAGTATTTTAAGGTTGAGTGATTAGATAGGCAGTTTAGATCATTTTCGTATTTGACTGGATGAATGAAATCTACTCGACAATTCGTAGAAATCTTCCTTCACTTATATATACTCACGAATTGCATGGCTTTCATACATGTTTGAGCTGTGATATCAAAAGGCTATAAACATTCAACTCTTGGGCTTCACACACCCCAGCTCTTTGCCACCGAGGTCCCAGCACCCGGATGGCCCCGACGTGGCTTCCGCGAGGTGTGTTCTTCAAGGGGTTTTAAAGTGTTTAGGGTTTAAGGGTTGAGGGTTTAGGGTTCAGGGCCTGCGGTTCAGGGTTAAGGGTTTCAGGTTTAGGGTTTCGGGCTTTGTTTTGTTAATTTGAGGATCCAAGGTTGCAAGGGGGTCGGGTTAGGGTTCAGCAATACCTCAATCCTTCTTGTGGGCCTGCATCCCCGTGTAATCTTTACGAATTCAGATGTGCCCCTGTATTTGCTTCCAACGTGAGAGCTTTTTCTGCAAGGCTAAGGGTGTATCATGGATTTTGATATCAGGTCGCGCGCTTGAGGCCTCCCAGGATTGCGAGAAGGGAAGACTGCTCGGAGGTTCACGGGTACTGAGAGAACCCCAATTATAAGCGTACTTCTAAGCCCCCGTAGTCCCCTAAGTTGGTTATAGGTAACCCTGAACCCTAAACCCTAAACCCTAAACCCTAAACCCTAAACCCTAAACCCTAAACCCTAAACCCTAAACCCTATTGGGCTATAAGTACACATGAGGACGGAACTCGAACCCCCCTCGCAGGACCTTGGTCGGCTGGATGCCCGCAAGCCCCCAAGCCTCCCCCCCACCCAAACCCATCCTTTAAAAGACTCCACATCCTAAAGCCCTAAACCTCAAATCCTAAACCCTAAACCCTAAACCCTAAACCCGAAACCCTAACCCTAAACCCTAAACCCCAAACCCTAAACTTTAGCCCTAAACCCTAAACCGAAAGTTCTCGGTGGGTGGGTGCAGGTTGCTCGAGGCCCTGCTAGACATTCGGGCCGTGCATTTCACGCCGGTGCGCCTGGTGCTGTCGGCATTACAGCAGGCCAGGGTCCCCAAGGTTTAGGGTTTAGGGTTTGGGGTTTAGGGTCTGGGGTTTAGGGTTTAGGGTTTAGGGTTTAGGGTTTAGGGTTTAGGGTTTAGGGCCCTGTCCGTCGACTTCCAAGACCTCGAACTTAGGACTCCACTCTCTCCCTCTGCAACCCCAAGCCCTGAACCCTAAACCCTAAACCCTAAACCCTAAACCCTAAACCCTAATCCCTAAACCCTAAACCCAGAACCCTAAACCCTAAATCCTAAACCCTAGACACTCAAAGCTCCACTTTGAAAGGCTGAGCTGACGCGCCGCTCATGGCCACCCAAGCGGGCCCTGGAGGTGGCGCGGAGGCGGGCCGGCTGCCTTTGAAGGCACTTCCCCACCCCGCCCCCTTATTTGGGTACCCAAGGGTATAGGGTTTAGGGTTTAGGGTCTAAGGTTTAAGGTTTAGGGTTTAGGGTTTAGGGTTCAGGCTTCAGGGTTCAGCGTTTAGGTGTGAGGGTTTGCTTGTACCCTAGTTACGCACCGCCAAAGTCAGTACTTCCGACATCTGCACGGATTCTTAAACACACTTTTACGTGTATGTATATAATATAGCATTTGGTTTTTTCAAACAGCATACAAAAAACAGAGTACACATCTTACATTCTCCTTCAGCAGATCCAATGCGTCAGATACGTTAGCGCCAACCCTTGCATGATCGGAGCCCGTAGAGTACGTACAGCATTCACGGGCAATGAAGACTACGTTGGGTCTGAACGTCAAAAGGCCAAGATTTTGCAGGCATGATTTAAGATAACGTCTCTCCTGTTCTCTTTCCTCCCAGCTGAGCGCCGAAGCGTCCACCGACGATGCAGAGAGCTGCATTGAACGCACGGCAGTGGACAAATATAGTAAAACTTGCAAACGTGCATATTTTATCACGTATATTTTATCACGGAATGGTTGTGGTGTGCTGTTGCGTTATACGTGCGGTGCGTAGTGGATGCATGTAGTGTTGTGTGCGTGTGGACCACATGAGCGTCTAGGTGATGAGGGGTTGCTCATGAGTAGCTCAGGACGGCATCACTTCATGTTCCCTCGTGTGTTACAAGCTTCGTCTGTTGGAGGAACCTAGGGTCAAGCCGATGAGGTGAAGATTTTGTCCCAACATGTGCCAGACACCCACAATGGCAAATGTAAAACAAAAGTGGAGTTTAGGGTTTAGGGTTTAGGATATTTTAGGGGTTTAGGGTTTAGGGTTTAACGTTTGGGGCAGGGCGCGGCCCCGCTATGCCAGACGCACGGAACGGTGTAAATGACATGTACTGAAATGACATGCAATAACAGCGCAGTGTCGCGTCGTTTCCGGGGCTGGGGGGGGGGGGGGGTGTGTGTGTGTAATACACTCCCCGAGTAGTGTTTGCACTGTTTCTGCGCGTATGATGCAGGGTTTTTACGACTGTTATTGGTGAGTATATATACCTTTTTAATATCGGTGTGTGTGTATGTTGGGTGTCCTTTTGGGGGTACAAGAAATATGAACCCTACTTCATATGGAGCTGGCCTGAATGCAGCATTCCTTCTTTCTCGACGGCGCTGCGCTACGTTGCAGATCCTTGGGGTATTGCTGCGCAACCAACGCCCAAAACTGCAAAACCTTGAGGGTTTAGGGTTTAGGGTTTAGGGTTTAGGGTTCAAGCCTCAACCCTTTGAGTCCTTGATCCTGTGGCCTCCAAACCAACCATTCGTTCGACTCCCTCGCGCAAGGTTCTTCAGCAGCGAGGTGCTCTTGCGAGCCTTGGCGAGTGCAGCTGGTGAGGGTGCAGGGTTTAGGGTTTAGGGTTTAGGGGTTCAGGGTTTAGGGTTTAGGGTTTAGGGTTCAGGGTTTAGGGTTTAGGATTTAGGGTTCAGGGTTTAGGGTTTAGGGTTTAGGGTTCAGGGGTTTGGGGTTCAGGTTTCAAGGTTTGTCGATGTAAAGCCATGGCTGTGGCAAGCTTGTGACCGCGAAGCTTCATTACGTCAGATTTCGTTCATCATTGTGGTTATTTCTTCTCCAGCCTTAAGATGTTAGACGATATAGACCAACAGCCCCATTGAATACGTTTAGGTTGTATGGGCTCTTGGGCGTGAGATCGAGAATTGGTCCAGGTCGCACAGGCTTGTTAGTGCCCCTTCCCCTTTGATCCCAAGGTGCTAAACCCTAAGCCTTCAGCCCTAAACCCTAACCCCTAACCCCTAACCCCTAACCCCTAACCCCTAAACCCTAAACCCTAAAACCCTAAACCCTAAACCCTAAACCCTAAACCCTAAACCCTAAACCCTAAAACCCTAAACCCTAAATGCCCTCTACTTGCTTGGCGTCTTGGGATCGCTCCTCAACGTGAACAGTCCTTCCCATGGAGTCTTGTGCTCATGCCCTTCCTTCGTTGCACATTAAGTTGACGTGCAAGAAAACGCCTGAAACAGACAAGGCCAACCAGGCTGCTACCAAAGGCTTGAGTTCTACACCCAAGTTCTGAACGACGGGCCCAAGACGCTTCCTGCCACACCTTTACACCCCATGAACATCCCAGCAAATCCCTGGAGAACCTTTGGCCCTAAACCCTAAACCCTAAACCCTAAACCCTGAACCCTGAACCCTGAACCCTGAACCCTGAACCCTAAACTTTAAACCCTAAACCCTAAACCCTAAACCCTAAACCCTAAACCCTAAACCCTAAACCCTAAACCCTAAACCCTAAACCCTAAACCCCAAACCCTAAACCCTAAACCCTAAACCCTACAGAGCCCTGGGTGAGGTATGCCCAACAGCGTGCGGCAGGCCTTGGCCGAGCAGTTCCTGGAGGTGCCTTTCTGGGTTTAGGGTTTAGGGTTTAGGGTTTAGGGTTTGGGGTTTAGGGTTTAGGGTTTAGGGTTTAGGGTTTAGGGTTTAGGGTTTGGGGTTTAGGGTTTAGGGTTTGGGGTTTAGGGTTTAGGGTTTAGGATTTAATGGGTTCATGGTTACTTAGAACCCCAGTTATGAGGCTACTTATAAGGGGGTTTACGAAAATGAGGGACCCCAAATATAGACCCCCAAATAGCAAGGATTCCCTTATAAGAAGGACCCCAATAAGGCACCCCTTATAAGTACAGTTATACTTAGGGGACTTAGGGACTTAGGGGACTTAGGGGACTTAGGCTTAAAAGTACAGTTATCATTCGGGCTATAAGTGCCCTGAGCCTCAAAGCTCTGGGGGCTTAGTAAAGCGCTGAGTACCGAGGAGCTCGGTGGGTTTAGGGTTTGGGGTTTAGGGCCTAAGTTTAGGGTTTAGAGCTTTGGGGTTTAGGGTTTAGGGGTTCAGAGGTTTAGGGCTTCGGGCTTCAGGCTTTTTAGGGTTGAGGGAGTTGCCCCCTCGCAGCCCCGAAAAGCCAAGCCCCGAGGTGCTCGCACACCTCACCGTCAGCGAAGAGAGCCTGGGTTCGCTGTTAAGGAGCTTCAAAGGGTTTAGGGTTTAGGGTTTAGGGTTTAGGGTTTAGGGTTTAGGGTTTAGGGTTTAGGGTTTAGGGTTTAGGGTTTAGGGTTTGGGGTTTAAGGTTTAGGGTTTAGGGTTTGGAGCATCAAGTAGATACGAAGTAGATATGGTTTCTTGGTTAGCTGTTGTGGTTGCAATGAGTTCTTTCAGTGGCAGCCCAGGTCCTCAGCCCTGAAGACCCCAAAGCCCTAAACCCTGAAACTCTCAACGGCCCAAAGTCCAAAACCCCTAAACCCTAGACCTCTGAACCCTAAACCCAAAACCCTGAACCCTAAACCCTAAAAGGCCCCTAAGAGCCCTAAAGCCGCAAAGCCCCAAAAGCCCCAAAAGCCCCAAAAGCCCCAAAAGCCCCAAAAGCCCCAAAAGCCCCAAAAGCCCTAAGCCCTAAACCCTAAACCCTAAACCCTAAACCCTAAACCCAAGGAACACGCCAGAGTCGGGAGCCCTGGTTTCCCAGCTGGCGGAGACCGTGGCTGCGGTCCCCGAAGCATCGGCTGCAGGGAGTTTTTCTTTTGGGCTTGGGTTTAGGGTTTAGGGTTTAGGGTTTAGGGTTTAGGGTTTAGGGTTTAGGGTTTAGGGTTTAGGGTTTTGGGTTTTGGGTTTTGGGTTTAGGGTTTAGGGTTTAGGGTTTAGGGTCTTGGTTACATAGAATCTCACTATATATATAAAGGGTTGACCGGGCTAGGGGATTCAGCCCCTGAGAACCAAGGCTTTCTCTGGACGCTGAACCACCTTGCCGCAAAGTTATGTCGTTGCAGTGAGCACATTCTCGCCAATGGGGCCTCTGCCAAAAAAGCCCTGAATCTCAGCCCCTCAAAAAAACCCCTAAGCCCAATAACGCCCCAAACGAAGGCCCTTAGTTACAATAAACCCCCACACTCTGAGCTTGATGCCCGAAACCCTGCACCTCTCTCAAAAAGACCCTGCGGCCCGCCCCTAACCGAGGATGCGGTGTTTGGTGCCCTCCGCCCCGGGCTTGGCGCGCTGGCTCCCATTTGCTGCCTGGCTGGCTTTCGGAGGGTTGTGGATTTCGGGGTTAGGGGTCCAGGATCCCAGGAGCTTGTGGTTGTAGACCCCTTGAAGGAGATGGGTGCAGGCATGTCGAGGTTGGGGGTTAAGGTTTAGGACAGGGTTGGAGACTATGGAGGTGTGTCCTTTAGCTTCCTGCTTGTGGCGCCAGGAAGTCTTCCTGCATCTGCCACCCTACACTCTAAACCCTCATCCCCAAACCCTAAGTCCTCAGCCTATCATGGGCTTCAGCTCTCTCCACCCTGCATGAGGCCTCGCTCTGGACCGACCGGCATCAGCAGGCTGTGAGGAGCTCGGTGGAAAGGGTGAGGGTGGGGGGGTTCAGGTTTTAGGGTGTAGGGTGTGAGGCACAGTTTGAGGGCTGGGGCGGTTCGAGCTAAGGGTTTGGAGGGTCTAGGGTTTGGGGTCTTAAGGGGTAATGGTTTGGAGGCTTGTGGCGAAATGGTTTAAGGTCTTAAGCGGCAATAGGAACAACCCCTCAGATTAAAAACAAGTCAACAAAAGATATCCCTTACTTAGTAGTCTCCTGATTGTCCCTTGCTCTGGGGTTCGTTTGTAGGTAGGTAGGCGGTCCAGCTTGTGTTTAGCGCTTGACTGGTGCATGTGGGTTTCAAGCTTTGGGTTCGAGGTTTGCGGTTTGGGTATTGTCTTGAAGTTCGGGGTTCTAGGGTATGGCTTAGGTTTGAGGTTCAATATTCCCTAAACCCTAAACCCTAAACCCTAAACCCTAAACCCTAAACCCTAAACCCTAAACCCTAAACCCTAAACCCTAAACCCTAAACCCTAAACCCTAAACCCTAAACCCTAAACCCTAAACCCTAAACCCTAAACCCTAAACCCTAAACCCTAAACCCTAAACCCTAAACCCTAAACCCTAAACCCTAAACCCTAAACCCTAAACCCTAAACCCTAAACCCTAAACCCTCAACCTTCAACCCTCAACCCTCAACCCTCAACCCTAAACCCTACACTCAAAATTTTGGGGTGCGCAGCTGGGAGATTTTAGGGTTTGCGGGCGGCTCAAAGACGAGCCCAGGCGTGGCGACGCTGCTACAAAGTCTGGTTTCGAGCTACTCGCCGCCCACCCGGGCAGCTCGGCAAAGACCCCAAAACCCTAAACCCAAACCCTAAATACCCGAACCCTAAACCCTAAACCCTAAACCCTAAACCCTAAACCCTAAACCCTAAACCCTAAACCCTAAACCCTAAACCCTAAACCCTAAACCCTAAGCCCTACACCCCTAAGCCCTAAACCCTAAACCCTAAACCCTAAACCCTAAACCCTAAACCCTAAACCCTATAAACCCTAAACCCTAAACCCTAAACCCTAAACCCTAAACCCTAAACCCTAAACCAACAAAACCCTCCTCCCTGAGACCCAAGCTCTACAAAGCCCTAGGCCCTGAGCTCTGAGACATTGAGCTCCCTAAGCAACCTTAAACCCTAAGCCTGAAACCCTAAACCCTAAGCCCTAAGCCCTAAACCCTAAACCCTAAACCCTAAACCCTAAACCCTAAACCCTAACCCCTACACCCCTAAGCCCTGGGTTCTAGGGGCTCGGGCCAAAGCCTTGAGGGTGTCAGGGACAGGGCTTCGTTCTCCCCATCCGAGCCCTTGTATTTGGAAAACCCTGGGCTCTGGCCGCTCCTAACAAGAGCCTTAGTAGCCTTGAACCCCAAATCCCAAATCCCAAACGCCAAACCCTAAGCCCTAAGCCCTAAGCCCTAAGCCCAAATCCCAAACCCCAAACCCTAAGCCCTAAGCCCTAAACCCTAAACCCTGAACTCAATCTCCCCAGTTCAGGATGCGTCATCACCGGATCGGAAGCCCATGGACGCTCTGCCCCTGGCGATGGGAGCTGTGCGCCTTCTGACGGTGCTCTGCGAGGACGGCTCCGTTCAAAGTTTGAGGTTTAGGGTTTCGGCTGTAAGGTGAAGAAATTAACAGTCTAGGGTTCAGGGTTTAGGGTTTAAGCCCCCAAACCCTATCCCTAAGCGCGCAACCCTAAACCCTATATAAACCCCAAACCTTGGGTGCTTTGAGAGGGACGTGAGTCGGGGTGCAGGGTTCGGGTTAAATGAGTTTTGAGCATAGGTCCGTGGGGGTTCGTTGGTTCTGTGATGTTCAAAGATTTCCGAGAGCGCTGTCCAAAGGCTTGGAATCCCAAAACCCTAAACCCTACACCCCAAACCCTAAACCCTTTCCTCTAAGCCCTAAACCCTAAACCGTTTTCTCCCTAAACATCCGCAAATCTCAACCTTAGCATCCCTCAGCGCGAGGAAGTGTTCACCAGCATATGGCCCGCCTTGGCCCGCGCCTAAGTGCTGGAGGGCGTCTGGGTTCAGGGTCTGTTGGTCCATATAGGGCTTACCTGCGAGACTATTTTCCTACAGTTTCAGGGGTTATACCTTCTAATTCAGGGGGTAAACGAGTCCCCATCCAGCGTCGACGTCGTGCTCTTGAAGTGCATGGCCCGAATCTCAGAAAGCCAGAGGTTGACCTTTAATTAATCCTAAACCCCCCTGCAGCCCTGAGCCCCAAACCCCTGCAAGCCCAGCGTAGTTCGGAATTCCTGCATTTCAGCAAGGCCCCGCCCCAATCTCTCGCCACGCAAGGAAAAGCCTGAGCACTTAAAGCCTAGGAGAAAGGAGGGGAAGGGTTTAGGGCTTCAGGGCTTGAGGGCCAAGGACACTTCAATGACCGCCAAAGCTAGGACCCAGAGTCCGTTGTTCAGCTTTCTGGGGTTTGGGTTCCCTTATCAGCCCCTTTATGGGGATGTTCACCCTTCTACTAACAGTCCTTCATGGGAATTATAGTACCGCCTACTATCATCCCTATAAAGGACTGTTAGTATAAGGAGGAGCATCCCAACCCCTATAAGACAAAAAAGGGCACCTTTTATTCTTAGGTTGCTCTTGGGTCTAGCTCTGGCTGGCCTTTAGGGTTTAGGGTTTAGGGTTTAGGGTTCAGGGTTCAGGGTTCAGGGTTCAGGGTTCAGGGTTCAGGGTTCAGGGTAGAAAGAGACCGCCTTGACCCTGGACTCAGGCGCCCACCTTGCAGGATCTCCACCGCCGCAGCTACCTGCCTCGTCGTGCCGCGGTGCTGCTGGGAAGGGTAATTAGGGTAGGACCCGAAAGCCCTAAAGTTCAGGGTTCAGGGTAGAGTGTTTGGGGTTCAGGGTTTAGGGCAAACCCTAAACCGCTGTGCTAGATGTCGTGCTTCTTTTTTTCATAGTCCAAAGCTCGTGCCTGGGTCAAGAACCCACTCGATTCCGCTCTCTTGTTTCACGGGATCGCTGACCTCCTCCTATACGGAACGTTCCTTCAGAAAACCGTAAACACCGAAGCCTGTAACCCTAGGCCCATATGCCCTCAAAACCCTAAACTCCAAACCCCAAACCCCTAAAAAACCCTAAACCCTAAGCCCTAAACCCTAAGCCCTAAACCCTAACCCACGAAACCAACAAAAGAAAGCCTTTCAGGGACCCCCCCCCCCCCAGAGCCCTGCCAGGTGGCTTCGCTCTTCGCCTGTGCCTACGCCGCGAGCCTGGTGCCGGGCTTTGCGTCGAAGGCTATGGTCGGCTTAGGGATGAGGACGTCTTGGGGTGTAGGGTTTAGGGTTTAGGAGGTTTGGGGTGTAGGGTTTAGGGTTTAGGGTTTAGGGTTTAGGGTTTAGGGTTTAGGGTTTAGGGTTCAGGGTTCAGGGTTTAGGATTTAGGATTTAGGGTTCAGGGTTCAGGGTTTGGGGTTTAGGATTTAGGGTTCAGGGTTTAGGGTTTGGGGTTTAGGGTTGAGGGTTGAGGGTTTCGGGTTTTAAGGCTCTGGGGCGTTGAGGCTTTAAGGGGCGAGTTTAAGGCATGGGCGGGACCCCGGGGAGCCGGGAACCTGGATGGTGGGCTTTGTTGGGATGAACTGTCATTAGGACCCTGAACCCTAAACCCTATAAACCCTAAACACCCCTAAAACACGGTAAAGCCATACACACCCTATAAACCCCAAAAACCCAAAAAGCCCAAAACTCAAAAAACCCTAAACACCCTAAAAACCCCCAAAACACCCGAAACCTTTCAAGCCCTATATCCTACGCCCTACCCGAGACCCTAAACCCTAAACCCTAACCCCCAACCCTGAACCCTAAACCCGAAACCCTAAACCCTAAACCCTAAACCCTAAACCCTAAACCCTAAACCCTAAACCCTAAACCCTAAACCCGAAACCCTACGCCCCAAGACCTTTGACACGCCAGGTTCAGCGGCAGGAGGCGGCGCACGCCGAGATCCTGGCCTATATCGAGGCTTCGGGCTCAAGGGAGGATTTGGGTTTAGGGTTCAGGGTTCAGGGTTTAGGGTTTAGGGTTTAGGGTTTAGGGTTTAGGGTTTAGGGTGTAGGGTTTAGGGTTTAGGTTTGGGCTCACGGGTTCAGGGTCCTCAGGCGTTTGCGCTTAGCTTGCGGTTCGAGGAGTAGGGCTCCTTGTCTTGAGGGCTCTTTTTTGTTGGGGTGGTAGGGTTTCCCTCAAGCCACTGCATCCCTAAATCCACCAAAAGCCTCACCCTAAGACCCTTAAACCCAAACCTCAACTCAACCCTAGCCCAAAACCGCTAAGCTGTGGACGTAAACCCGCGAAGCTGAAGTCCCTTAAGCCCGGTCTTTTCATGGTCCCCCTCGGGTCGGTTCTGGGGGCTCTCAGAACCCCGCACAGGCACGTGCTCGTCTGGCCATGGGCCAAGGGAGGCGCTCGTGCTCTAGGATACAGGGGTTTAGGGGGTTGGGGTTTTGGAGGGTGTTTTGGGCTGTTGGAAGTTTAGGGCATTGAGGGCGTTTGTGTGGCTTTGGCCTCAGAGCGTTGAGGAAGGTGTTGTTGCTTTTAGGGGATTTTGGGTTGAGAGTTTGGGTTGGGGGGGTGGAGAATTAGGATTGAGGGTTTAGGCTTGCAAGACCATGTGCAAGTGTTTGAAATGCGGTGTTGGGGAAGCGTCGGTCGTTTTGTTGCTCTGAAGCCTTCTATACCGCAAGCTCTAAACCCTAAACCCTAAACCCCTAAACCCTAAACCCTGAACCCTAAACCCTGAACCCGAAACCCTAAACCCTAAACCCTGAACCCTAAACCCTAAACCCTGAACCCTGAACCCTTGTGACCCTCAACCCTTCACCTTAAAACCTTAAGCCCTGAACCCGAAGCCGCATGGAGGCCCGAGGAGGCCGTGCAAGAAGCCTGCTGGGTGTGGCTGCCTTTTGGGCCGCAAGGGGTGCGGGGTTTAGGGTTTAGGGTTCAGGTTCAGCATCTCAAGTCCGAGCATTCACTAGTCAAGCAGCTTGTCAAGGGCTGGAATAAAACCCCACCCACCCAAGAAACCCATAACATTGAGAAAATACAAAGTCCACTCAATACATTCCCAGTAGGCTTAAAGCTCAAGGTCCAATTGGCCGAAAACCCAAAATTTAATTCTCAAACCGGGGAGGGTGGGGTGGGGGGGGGTGGCCCCTCATTTGGGGTGGTTTTGGAGG